TTTTGCTAATTTTCCCTATTATTGAGCATTGAAGCGTTTTACCTTTTCCCATTTCTCACAGGGACATCCTGCTAGCTTCCCATAACGAATTGGAATGACATTTTGTTGTGCATCTGTGAGCATGTTCCTCTTGATCTTCCCAGTTAGACTGCTCTTTGTACATCAGTTATATCCTCTGCAGTTTGTATGTGAGCTGAATTTCAGTGGCGAAAGTCTTTGCCCATGAAGCATATTGAACTCGCCGAGATTTTCCCTCCTGATTGGTTTTGGTTCCAACACTTGGGCTTTGATTCTTTCAAATGCTTCCCTTTCAAGGGCTCCTTTCTCCTGGGAGCCTGAGTGAACTCCCGCTGCGTCAGTCCGGTCAGTCCTTTCTGCCCTGTGATAGCCTTGGGCGGTCACCATGGGGACTTAACCTTTTTTATGTCTTGTCTCTCTCTCTCTCTGCCTGGGTGATACCCATGGCCCTTTCCTAGTCCAGCTCTCATTTTCTTAGCCCTGTTAACAACACCCTTCCTGGGTCTCCATCTTTGGTGTCTAGTGCTATCTGCACCCACAGTTCTTTGTTTTCTGGGTTTGTTGACATCTGGGAGACATGAATCCAGTTTTGAGATCACTTCAATGTAGATTTTCGCCTTTTCATGGAGTCCACTTCTCTCCCATGATAACCAGTATTCTAGGATGCTCTTTTTTTTTTGGATCCTTCCTCCCAGGATGGGTTGCCTGTAGTGGCAGATCCCTCAGACATAAGCATTCCTTCCACTCCTTCCTTGTTCCAGGTGCATGTGCATGGCTTTGGTTCTCTCCATATTGGTCATCTTCACATTGTGGCAGGAGGCCCAGGTGTCCCAGGGGCAGCTGCCCACACAGTGTTTGGCCAGCCAGTCTTGCTTTAAGTGGATCTGACATGACCCAGTTGACCATAGCTACCCTTTCATGGTCTCCCACAGTGCTGCTACCATAACGAAGACACAGTTTCTGTAACCCAGCATGGATGGGCAGCTCAGTCTGTTTCATGTTGGAATGATATTATTATTATTATAATTGCATTTATTTAAAAGAGTTATAGACAGTGGATGGCAATTGTTTGGAACCTGGACCACTCTGAAGACCATTGAAAGGACAAGCAAAAATCATTGATTGAATGCAGATTTTGTCCAACGTGTGGAATTTATGAATAGAACATGAGCAGCCTGTTCAGCACCCCGCCCTCCACCCCCCTTCCTTCCTCAAGCCATTAAGCTAGACTTTTCCTGTGATGGCACTGTGTGTTAAATTTGAGGCTGAAAATGCCTCGCTGTTAACCCTTGCCCACTCTGTCAGAAACCTTTCAAACAGAACAGAGAGAGTCCTTTTCTGTGAAGCCCTGGCCCCTTGGATCATTTTCCTCCTATTCTTAGGTAATGCTATTAGAATCCAATTTAGAGTTAGAATTTCAGGGGGAGACAGCTTTGCCTTGCTTTCCTGGGAGGATACTGCCACCTAAGGTAAGTGTGCTGTAATAATGAGTGACTAGGGAGTAAGGTGGATTCTTAGTGTTGGAATGATAGAAGTTGGTGTTAACCATGGTGCAAGTTATTCCTCCCCATGAGAAAGGGTAATCTAATTTCCAGATGACTTTTTAAAAGATTTATTTCGTGCATTTGAAAGGCAAAGTAGCAGAGAAAGAGAGAGCTTCCATCTACTATTCATCCCCCAAATGGCTGCAACAGTCGGGGCTGGACCAAGGCTGGAGCTAAGAGCCAGGAACGCTATCTGCATCTTCCACATTGTGGCTGGGGGCCCAAGTACTTCAGCCATCTTCAGCTACTTTTCCAGATGCATTAGCAAGAAACTAGCCTGGAAAAGCAGCAGCCGGGACTTGAACCAGCACCCAGATGAGATGCAGACACATGCATGTAGCATCCTTGACCTTTATTTTAAGGACACTTTGAGGATTCCCAGCGCAGTCTGTCCATGCCCCTTGCTAAGGATTCCAGATTGGTCGGTCTTACAGCTTTTGGTCCTGCCTGGGACGGCAGCATCCTTGTGAAAAGAAGAATATGAACCACACACCAGCCCTCCCCAGAGCCCAGGCCGGACAGAGAGCCTGCGATCTTAGGTCACTGTGCTCCGTGGAGCCGAGGAAAGACTGCTAGTTAATGGCACTGCCTGTGGCTTGCACCTGGCTTTTAGGGTTTGGAGGGGGAGAGCCTGCTCACTTTTAACCAAAAACTACATCTGGGGGAGGAGGGGAGCAGCAGCATTTTACCAGCCAGAAACTGTGCCAGCAGTGCTGGAGCCTTCTCCCCTGCCTCCCTGGGAGGCTCCCGGTACCTTACATGCCTCTTGTCAGCACGTGAATTTAGTATATTGTCCAGGCATCATCTTCCCTTCAAACAACCTAATTCTCCTCCTGGCAAGCGTTCACTTAATGGCTGTGTTGTGGTTTGCAAGGCCGGTCAAATAAATCAGGCTAAATCCTGATAGGAGAAAAAAGGAAAATTCAGTTCTGGAGAAAGTGGGCCCCAGTTCACCAATGGGCATTGGAGTCCACCATCCTGGACTGTGGTGGGTGGCTGCTGCAGGTCCTGGCCCCCTCATGTTTTCTAGGAGCCCCAGAGACCTGCTTCTCCCCAGGGCCTTAACCCCTGCTCTGCTCAGCTGGCTCCTGGCCCTGGGCTTTTTAGCAACAGCACACCCCGAGAGGCCACCAACCTCCCCTAGAGCTCTTCTCTACACCTCAGACCCATGTCAGTCACTACTCAAGTGTGGGGACCATGAATGTGTGTCACGGCACAGTGGCTTCCTCATTTCCTCCCCGTTGCACCCTCAGTGCCTGCCAAGCCTGCCTTGTACGCCTGCGCAGCTCGGTGACCATGTCTGACCCTTTTTGTTCAGGTACACGGCAAGGGGATTCCCCATCCATCTAGCCAGAGTGTTCTCCACTCCCCACTTTGTTCCACGGAAAAGTGAGGGGAACCCCCCACAGCACCTGCATAGCCCATAAATGCAAGGGGGTCCTCGCCCCTGAGACCTGCGGCTTTGTGTGTGTGGCAGAGGGGGATGCGGCCCCCTGCAAGTGTTTGGCGAGGTCCTGTGTGGACTTTTCTAGACCTATGGAGTCCGTTGAGAATGTGTTGTCTGCCTAGGGTTTAACTAGCTAAAGTCTAGTCAGTGACATATCAGATGAGGATACTGTAGCCAACAGCATTAGTTAAGTTGGCATCTCTTTGAAAGCAAACCACAGAAGAGTAGTTACCAGATGTGCAAACCAGGGGGAAGATAAAGACAGTCACCTCCCACCCGGTTCCTAAGGTTTTCAAAAGCGTTTGTTTATTTTGTCTACTCGAACAGCACACAGACAGCAGGCATGGGCAGGTAGTGCATCTCTCATCTCAGAAGCACTCGAGGCCAGAAATGGTCCAAATTTCAGACTGTTTTCACATTTTGAAATCTTGACGTGGTTGTTATTGACATGACTGATGTTGGAGAAAGCAGTGATCACAGTATTCAGGATGGTTCAGATTGGGGGGTGTTTCAGATGTTCAGGTTGGGGGTGTTCAGCTGTGTGTGGAGGTGAGTGGGAAGTGGCTCATGGAAGGATGGAGGCTGTGATGGGGAAGCCCAGGTCCAGAGGCCCTGGAACCTGGGAGGCTGGCACACATGCTGGAGGGTGTGGCGCCCTGATGCCCAAGGGCAGGAGAGAGTGGGCCTCCTAGCTCCAGAAGAGACAATATGTACTTCCACTGCCCTTGCGTTCCACTGGGGCTCTTGGCTCACCCAGTGGTACCTGCCAACTGTGTGTGAGGGTGGCTCTGCCACAGTCCGTCCACTGGTTCAAACACCAGTCTCTTCTGGAAGGGCTGGAAATAACGCTTGCTGTGAACTCCTTCACACTATCAAGCTGACACCTCAAGTCAACCATGGCAGTATCATGTGGCTGACATTATAGCTCAGCAAAAAGCATCTCCTGGAGCAGTACCAGTTATTCAAGCCATCTTGATGCTGGTAGACCTAGCTGTGTTGACAGAAAAGTGGAAATATCTGGGTCTTTGTCCCCAGAGGAACCCAGAAAAATCTAGCAAGTATTATCGTTGTCACTCAAGGCCCTTGGAGCTGTAATAATTAGCTTTGTTTTCCATCAGGTTATGCTTGAAATAAGATCTTTTTCTCCCAGAAAATTATGCAAGAGCACTTCAAAAAGTTATTGGAAAATATAATGACAAGTTTATTTTTTTTTTTGCAAAAAAATTATAATTTTGGGACTAATTAGCATTGTGGCATAGTGAGTAAAAGCTGCTACCTGCCATGCTGGCATCACAAATGGGCTCCTGTTAGTAGATTGTGAAAAGCAGCAGGAGGTGGCCCAAGTGGTCAGGCCCCTAAACCTCCTGGGCTCCACCTAGGGCCTTACCCTGTGGCCATATGGATGGTGAGTCAGGGGATGGAAGCTCTCTGTTTCTCCCTCTCCTCTGTCTGTGACTCTTAATTTTCAAATAAATAAGTATAATTCATATATGTTTTTTCATAATATGCTTTTTCCATGAACTTTTGAAAATCTCTTCCAAAAGTTCATAGAAAATGCTTATTGAGGATCAAAGTTGTACATGGATCCCCAAATTATTTAAGCCAAGATAGTCTTACTTTTCTTTCCATTTTTCCGTGAACTCCTGAGACACCCTAGTATGATTGCAAAGGAGACCACAAATTGGAAGTGTGCTACATGGTTTAATTTCTGCCCAAGCGAGGTTCTCAGAACTTGCTTAGAACTGAGAAAGATGTGGGAGCCCAAAATCTGTCAGTCAAGGCTGCTGGGTCTGTTGGCCTCCTGCCAATGCAAGTAAGACCAAGGCTGGAGAAGTGATGGGCTGTGACCCAGATGGTGGCATTCTCAGAACTAAAGCATTTGAGCAGGAAGTGATTGTGAAAGGCTCCCTGGCTCTCTCTACCTCAATGCGCGTGGAGGTGGATGGGTAAAGCACACCGCAGTGAAGAATGCCCTTGTTCTTTTTTGACAGATTGGAGCGGGGGCTATGGGCTGCAAAGTCCTGCTCAACTTTGGCCAGCGGATGCTGCGGCGCAAGGTGGTGGACTGCAGCCGAGAAGAGAGCCGACTGTCCCGCTGCCTGAACACGCTTGACCTGGTGGCCCTGGGTGTGGGCAGCACACTGGGAGCTGGTGTGTATGTCCTGGCCGGGGCTGTGGCGCGCGAGGACGCCGGCCCTGCCATCATCATCTCCTTCCTGATTGCCGCGCTGGCTTCGGTGCTGGCTGGCTTGTGTTATGGCGAGTTTGGTGCCCGTGTCCCCAAGACGGGCTCAGCCTACCTCTATAGCTACGTCACTGTTGGGGAGCTGTGGGCCTTCGTCACCGGCTGGAACTTGATCCTCTCCTATGTCATTGGTAGGTCTCCCGGAGCTTGCTGCCTCTGTCCACTAATGTTTGCTGCTGTCTACAAAGGGTGGGTGATGGCACAAGGAGACCACAGGTGGCCCCTCCAAGGAGCCACTTCCTAACTTGACCACCAAAAATATCTCTGTCCGTTTATGGACTGGTGAAGGTATCTGTGGGTTCATTGTCTCTGCCCTTGTACCAAGGTCAAGCCAGGGCTCAAGGAGGCCGTTTCTGTTGATGAGGCATCAAAGACGGAATTCATTGATTGTCTCAGACCAGTTGAAAATTAAAGAAACAAGTTTTTTTCCCTCCCTCCCTCACTGTGCCTCTTTCTGTCCTTCCAAATGCTTGCTTTTTGAACAGATTTGTTTATTTCTTTAACAGGTAAAGTGTGTGTGTGTGTGTGTGTGTGAGAGAGAGAGAAACCTCCTACCCAAATGCCCATAATAGCTAAAACTGGGCCAGGCTGAACCCAGGAACCAGGAAATCAATCCATTGAGGTCTCCCATGCGGGAAGAAGGTCCCAAGCACTTGGCCCATCATCCACTGCTTTTTCAGGCACACTAGCTGGAAGCTGGAATGGAAGTGGAGTAGCTGGGACTCCAACTGGCATCCCTCCGGAATGCCAGAGTCACAAGTGGTTGCTTAACCTGTTGCCACGGCATGTTAGCTGAACTTATGCTCCGTGCAGCCATTTTGCTGAATGTTAAGAATACAATAGAGAAGCAATATGGTTTCTATTCGTAAAGACTGTGTCGTCCAGGGATATAACCCAATCACATTTGTATATTTGTACATTCTGTTTCTAAAACAGTAGATGAGGGCATTCCCCAAAGTTCATGAGAATGCATATTACAAGAAAATTATGCATAACTTTCAGAACCGTTTTATACCGAAATCAACTCCTCTTTCTCACTGCGGTTTGCACGAACTTCTACTGTGATAGACCCTTAGCTAGAAAAACATTGTCAAATTGTAAGTTGTTTGGTCGGAGTCGCAGCCCTGGTGGTTGTGTGCCACTGGGTACTCTTACATGCACAGTGTTGAATTACTGGGTGTTCTGAGATGTTTAGACAGTTGCCAGTTAGGCTATGGCATGCAGTGTATGTTTATGTGTCAAGGTGTGGCTGTGATTTCCTTTTGAAACTGTCTAGTCAGTCCAGGTCAGTGCATCTGCCTGCAAGCATGCTTTGATCTCACATAGAAGAAGGAAATGCAAGAGAAGGTCATTTGGGTGCACCTCCGCCTCAACTGAAATTCGTGCCTGTGAGAGCTCTTGTAAAAGTTAGCAGAAAATGCATCTTATGGGAAAACACACACACACACACACACACACACACACACACACACACACACACACACACACACACACACACACACACACACTGGGTTTCAGAATTTTGCACTAAAGTTCTTATAATTCCATCTCTTCATGAACTCTCCCCAGCCCCTTTTGTGTTTTTGAGGCCATAGTCAACAGGGTCCTCCCCCTCTGAGCTGCAGGGCCCTTTTCCTTGTGGTGGCAGTCCTGCTTTTTGGTACCCAACAGAGACCAGATGTATAAAAACCTTCCAGTGCAGTAAGTTAAGACGCTGTGCTTCTGTCCATTCTCCGTGCTTCCGTTACACCTGAAGTAGGACACATCAGCTGAGAGGAAACGAGCACCCAGACACAAGAATAAGCAAGGAGTTTGAACAACCACTTCCCCAAAGTAAAAGTAAACATGTATGATCACTGAACATTGCTCTTTTTAGTGGGCTTGTGTGTGTGTGTGTGTGTGTGTGTGTGTGTGTGATTTTGTTGAGCCACAGTATGCGATGCAGCCACTGGAGCCACGAAGTGCCCACTCACACTCACTTCTGTGTTTGCCCACGCCAGGGACCTCATAGGTGGTCCTGTGTGCTGCTTGCTAGGACCCTCGTGTTTTGGAGCTCTCTGTGGCCTCATCCTTGCTTGGAGGAGGCCGCTACCACTGTACCAGGCCAGCTGATAAAGTCCTAACTCTGAGCAATGCCTCTTCTCTTTGAGCTGCTGCAGTAATCTCCTAAGAGCCAGTATAGCTTGTTCTTGTAAGCACTAAAATAAAATTCCAATTTTTTTTTTTTCAGCACACATCAAAACTGTGCCCATAAATGGCTTCCATACTCTGAAGTCTCACAGTGAGGCTGGAGCTGTTTTGAAGGAACCGTTGTGCTTCTCCAGGACTGATTGGAGTCTGAGACCAAACACGGAGCAGGAAGTGCTCCTTTCCAGACTAACGCTTGGGAAAGACTGTGCTAGAGTGTTCTTAGCATGTCTTAGGAAAATTTATTCTCAGTCCCAGCTACTGGGGAAGGACTGTTTGTCCAGCAGAGATGTCTTCATTTAAAAGCCGTAATACAGAAATGGGAAGGGGTGGGCTGGAAGGAAAGGCTGGAGCAGCCCCTTGCATCTATCAGGGTGGGGCTTGGGACCCCACTTTGCAAGGAGCCAGCTGCCAATGAGGTGGTGGGAAACCATTGAGAACAGTGTGTGAAGCCTCAGTGGACAGAATTTGTAACAGATCGGCTACTTAGGAGAAAGGGACATGGCTGAGTTTTTCAGTTGTTGGGAAAATGTCTCAGCAGGAGGCCAAATAGCAAAACTGAACGTATAGTATACAGATCCCTCTTGGAAAATTCTGGAAAACGCAGACCCTCTTTGAAAATCAAGGAACATGCTATATGTGCATACTGGCACTGTAGGGAAGTTTCTTGGGAATCGGCACTGGGAAAAGTGACTATTTAGAATTTAAATGAGGGGCCCGGCGGCGTGGCCTGCGGTCACTTGGGGAGTGAATCATCAGACAGAGGATCTTCCTCTCTGTCTCTCCTCCTCTCTGTAGATCTGACTTTGTAATAAAAATAAATAAATCTTTTTTAAAAGAATTTAAATGAGGGTGCCTGACAGTTTGCTAAAGCCAGCATCCACATCTGAGTGCCAAGTTAGGTCGTGCCTTCTCTGCTGCTGACCCAGGTACCCCTCACAGTGGGCCTGGGAAAGCAGCAGCAGATGGCCTAATGGCTCAGGCCACCGCCACCTGTGTTGGAGACGCATTCTGGAGTCCTGTTTTTGGTTTGCCCTGGCTCTTGTAGCCATTTGGGGAAGCAATCCAGCAATGGAAGATCTCTCTCTGTATCTCTACCTCTGTCCCTTTCCTTGTCTACCACTCACTCTTTCTTTCCAATAAATAAATAGATATATTCTTTTAAAAAAAGAGAGAGAGAATTGATAGAGATGTAAAACAACTGTTTTGGGCATTTTGGGTGCTGGTTGGTGTCGAGACCAAGGAGAATGGGGGTCAGGGTTGTGGTCTTATGCCCAAGGGACATGGGGTAACATTTCGGCCCCTCAGTCAGGTGATGCATCTACTGGTACAGGCACGGAATGGTGGGGTGGCTGATATCTACTTGACTCTGAGGGGGTAGCCTTGTCTCTGAGCTAGGGGGTGGCCCCCTCTGCCTTCCCCCCCCCAGCTGCTGGATAAAGGGCCCTCGACAGGTGTTTCTACAGACTTCTCGCTGAACAATAGGGTATTTTTATTAGTAGTAGTAATAGTATTAATGAGATAAAGTAGGTAGAATTAAGTCAGTGCTGTCAGAGTGAGTCTTGAGTAAAGAAGGTAACTACTGTTTTGAAAAATGCTTACTCCGCTCTGTGTGTGTGTGTACTGTTTTGCAAGTGTGTACACAGATGCTCCTCTGCTTGTGCTGGGGCTGTGCCCAGGTATGCCCATGGTAAGTTGAAGGGGTCAAAAGTAGAAAATACTTGGAGTCCATTTGACCTGCTGCACTTCCTGCCTCGCCACATGATACCATGTGGAGCAGTCATTGTGTCCTACCCAGCGTGCTAGAGAGCCCCAGTCCACACAGCACTTCCTGCACAGTCCACACTGCACTTCCTGCACACAGTCCACTGCAATTCCCAGTGTGTTTTCCCTTGGAGAAAGGAGGCTTTCCCAATACTACAAAGTCTAAAGCTTGTAAGTCAAACCACCATAATTCAAGTAAACAGAATAGGTCTTGCACAAGTTCATTAAAGATGTATATTACAAAAAAAAAAAAAAACCAGTGTTGATTTCAATTTTTTTTTGTACCATAATGAACTTTTAATCCTCTTTTCCCTGTGTACCCTATAAGCACACAACATGCATATGCAGGTGGCTTATAACATCAGGTGCACTCCACTTCAGGCCCCAAAAGCCTTGTCATACTTGTCCCTTCACTCCCTGTGAGACAATAAGCCTCCCTTCCAAGTGTCTACTGTGACCTGGTCATCACTGCTGCGATTCTGTGCATCGCCTGCGATCCCCGTATGGATGCTGCAGGCGCCCAGTCACGCTGATGATGCGGATGTTCAGTGCACTGTTGACCGTTCCCCTCCCCGTGTCTGTTCTGTGGCAGGTACTTCAAGCGTGGCAAGAGCCTGGAGTGCAACATTCGATGAGCTGATCGGCAAATCCATCAGTGAGTTCTCGAGGAAACACATGGCCCTGAATGCCCCCGGGGTGCTAGCTGAAAACCCTGACATATTTGCTGTGATTATCATCCTCATCTTAACAGGTAAAGTCATATCTGGCTGAGCAATGGGTAGACTTCATATGCCAGGCTCTGCTTAAATTTGCTGATTTTCTCTTGTTGCGTATCCTTTCTCTGCCTGGTCCCTGTGTTATTGTTACACCTGCAGAAATCTTTGTTTACTTGTCCAAGTCTTAATGGCTTCTTGGGCTGGCCTGTTTAATACCTGTTGAGTAGTGTACTATTTAATAAAAAGAATCAGATGTCAAGTCTATGGACCGAGACTTTGTTAATAAAGCAGGCTTTTTGTACTAGTGATCCTGGAATTAAAATCGTGCATGTGTGTGTTAAGAAGGGCTTTATTTATTTGAAAGGCAGAGTGGCACAGGGAGAAAATGAGACCTGCCATCCGCTGGGTTACTCAAATGACCTCAGCGGCCAGGACTGGGCCCGGCCAGAGCCAGGAGCCAGAAACTGTGTGGGTTTCTCCTATGGTTAGCAGGGATCCAAACTTCTTGGGGGCATCTTCTGCTGCTGTTCCAAATGCATTAGCCTAGCTGGACTGAGGATTGAAACTGAACCAGTGCTCTGATGGAGTATACCCCTCTCCCAGGTAGCAGCTTAGACCTCAAATCCTTTTGAGGTAGGCACTTGGTGTAGCAGTTAGAGACACCCCTTGGGATGTGCATATTGCAGTGCCTGGATTTGAGTGTTCAGTTTCCTGCGATTTCACACCTGGGGAGAAGGCAGCAGTGATGGCTCAAGTACTTGGGCCCTGCCCCACCCACATGGAGGATCTGAGCTGAACTGATTTCCTAGCTTCTGCCTTCAGCCTGGCCCAGTCAGGCTATTGCAGGCATTTGGGGAGTGAACCAATGGATGGGAGTGTGTTCTCTCCCCAACTCCTTCTGTTTCTGTCAAATAAGTAAAATCAATATATTTTTTAAATTAAGGAAAAAATAGCTCTTGACTCACAGATGACATTTGGAGAGGAAGTTGTCATTTACATGCCAAGAAAATGTGAAGGAAAGACTTCAACTGACCATTACTAGTGAGGACCTGCGTGTTGCAAGGCCTCTTGGTTGCTTTGCCCCCGTAGCCACTCACACACTGTTACTGTAAATAGCCTTCACCTCCAGCTTGTGTGTGGTTACTGAAATTTTCAGTTCCAGGTACTACTTGAAGGCAGTGGTTACAGTTTGTGACATGTGACATGGGTCTGCATCTTGGCCACTGGGGTAAGGTTTTGTTCCACAGTGTGCTGACCGTATAAACATGAAGCCGAAATACAGGAACATTGTTGTCTGAGGTCGCAAAGTCTTGGATGAATTTTTAAAGCATACCTTATTTCCTACCCCATGTAATTGGAATAATTTCCTACAAGCTGGCCTCAGCAGAATTTCTGGTCCAGCTGGCAGGCACATGTATCAGAAAATAAATTCACACGATCGGAGTGAGATTTTCATTTTAATGAACACGAGAGGGAAGGGCACTTAAAGGGAAAAGTGTATATATATATATATATATTTGAAGACGATGAGGTTTTTCACCCTGTGATTAATGACTCAATTCTTTGCTGACACCTGCATCTCAGAATTCAATCTAACGTGTACAGCAGTTTTAATCTCCAAATGTCTACAAGGCATTCGGGGCAGGGTGGTCATCCTACATTACACAGTTGGCCAGCTGACTCTGCTGCCGTGAGCTTGTGTGCCTTGTCATTTGAGAGGGTGTGTGCATGTGTTTCCTCCCACTGTGAACTTGAAGGCTAGGACTGATCTGGCTTACACATCCTCTGCTGTGAGGAGCCGTAGGGGTCAGTAGTAGCTGTTACTGTTAACCTTACTAACATCCCAAAGTTACTCTAAATGATGTCCTCCTGGGAAAGTCAACTCTCACTCTCAAGAAATCCCACAGAGCATTCCCCCTGGATTTGTTCCAGAAGGGTCATTGCCCAGCAGTACCCTTCTCACAAGAGCGAGCAGCTCCTGCATGTCTGGCACCTGCATGTCATGGATGGTTGAATGCCATGCTCCAGATTTCTGTAACCCCTTAGGTGCCCATCAGGGGCATCCTCCCTTCCAGAAGGATTGGGAAGCCCACTCTGAGAGCTTGTGTTGGTTGTTTGGGGCCCTGCCCACATATCTAGGGCTCATGACTGCCCGTGCACTTGATTCTTTCTCAGCCCCATTTCCCATCCATCCTCCAATCCAAATAAGGATTTAAAAAAAACAACAACATTTTATTCATTTGGTTGAAAGGCAAAGAGAGAGAAAGAAAGATCTTTGATCTATGTTTGACTCTCAATGCCTGCAACAGCTAAGGCTGGACAAGGCTGAGGCCAAGAGCCCCGAACTCCACGTGATCTCCCATGTGGATGGTGATGACCTCAGCTCTTGAGCCATCATTTCCTGCTTTGCTAGGATATCCCAGCAGGACACTTGGGTTAGAAGAGGCCAGGCTTGCAAATGTGAGATACAGGTGCCCTGAGTGGGGCAGGCAGCTTAGCCTAACACACTTTGCCAACAGTGTCTGTTCTGCCTTTAGATATGTTAGGGTTAGAGTAGTGATATTTATTTACTTATTATTTTAATAGTTCAGAGAAATTCACAGTGCATGATAGTTGATTTGTTTCTCAGTGCTAGTATAGAAGAATGTGAAATGTTTTTTATGGTTTCTGGATCCTAAAACCTGACTTTGCTGCTGCTGTTTGGTGACAGTGAGTCAACAGCATGCTTAAAGGTAGAATTTCCAGGTTCTTCCTCTTGTCCATACCCACCTCGGGGAGACAAGATCTTTTTCTAAGCCCTTAGGAAGATGGATCTAAAACGTTCGGTAATTCGGGCTTCATCCCTGCAGTCCTCTATCTGTACGTCTTTTCCAGGTCTCCTAATGCTCGGTGTGAAAGAATCGGCCATGGTCAACAAAATATTCACTTGCATCAACGTGCTGGTGCTCGGCTTCATAATGGTGTCGGGATTTGTGAAAGGACAGCTCCTCAACTGGCAGCTCACACCCGATCATTCCTGCATGAACAAGTGAGTGGCTTCCACCATCCCTTGGCCTGTGACCCTCCTTCTCCATGTGCCGCCCCTCGCCACAAACCAGGTGCCCATGGGTGACCTTGGTGGCATGGAGAGTGTACACCTTTTAAGAATACAGCATTTGAATTGAGGTTTCTTTTGTGTATTTGCAGCAGAGTAGCTGAGAATATATTGTGTGTCTGCCATTTGTGTTAGGGTTCATTTCTTAGAGCAGGACAAAACTGTGTGTGCCAAGGAAGGCATTCAAGAAAACAAGAATTGGCATTCTGATTCTATGTGTATAAGGAACCTGTGTTGGATCCCTTAAGTGGCCTGTCTTTCCTGATGTTGAAGTTTGTATTCAAATTTTTCTCATGTAGTATCATGGTGATGTATTTTACATATTTTTTTTTTAAACGTGCATGTATTTACTTGAAAGGCAAACTTACACAAAGAGAGGGGGAAGGAAAAGAGAGAGAAGTTGTTGGGGAGGGCAGTCTTCCTTACAACTATTGAGGCTTGGTTAACCCGGAAGCTGGCAGCTTCATCGAGTCTCCCACATGGGTGCAGGGACTCCATACCCTGAGCCATCTCCCACTGCTTTCCCCGGGGATTGGATTGTAAATGGAGCAACTGGGACTTGACCTAGGATCTATCTGTGGTTTCTAATACTACAGGCTGTGTCTCAACCCACTGTCCCACAACACTGGTACCACTTTAATTTTCAGTGTGTTTCTATCAAAATGAGACAGGAGTGGTCATGGGCTGCCCCATCCCCAACATGCCTTGGCCCGTCACCCTGCATTCCCTGACTCAGGAGCCCCCAGAGCCTGAGGCCAGTGCCTGGTCAGCTCAGGACCCCGTGCTTTAGCTCCACTTCCCCAGTAGATGAAGCCTACAGAGACATGGCCTTCCTGATGTGGTATCAATGGGTAGTAGACATGGAAGACTGTGTGAGAAGGAGGCATCCGTACAGGCCCGTAGAGGAAGCACTGTTGCATGGTATCTTCGGTTTCGGATTCTAGGAGGGAAGCCCCCAAATAGCTTCAGCAATATCAACAGATCAACAATCGGCAGTGGTCATCCGAGCACTGTCCTTCTCAGCCCACAGTGGCCACTAGCCAGCGGGACAGAAAGGGGGAGGGGAAAGGGCTCCGCCCCTCCCTCTCCTTCTTTCCCTGGACACTTCTCCCGAGGTGTGTAAGTGCAGTGTGTCCAAATCTACCTCAGCAGAATGTGCACAGATGGCTGGCAGTCCCAGTTGGAGATGAAGGCTGCATTTGAGGACATCAGAATTGGGAGGATGGGGGTGGGGTTCACCATGAACAGCTTCATAGTTAAGCTGTTGGTTAAGATGTATGCATCCCACATCAGTGTACCTGGGATCAACAGCCACCTCTAGCTCCTGACTCCAGCTTCTGCTACTGCAAACCTGAGGGGCAATGATGATGGCACAAGCACCTACAACTCAGATGAGTGAGTTCACTGGGCTTTTTCAGCTTGGGCCCCCATTCCCAGGGCCATTGCCTGTAGCCAGGGAGTGCACCAGTGACTGAAAACTCCCTGTGCATCTCTGTCTCTTGCTGTCTGTATTTATCTACCTCTCAAATCAAATAATAATAATAATGTAGAAGGCCTCATGTCACTTGGTGACCATCAAGGGCAGCACACTTCACATGTAACTAGATGGATAGCAGCCAAGGAAAACACCTACACCATGCACTGCCACAAACAGAGCACCTGGAGAGATGAGCAGGGCCCCACAGAGCAGCCAGCAGGGGCCTGGAGTGTTTTTTTGAGTGCTTCAGGAGCCATGCTTGGAGACTTGAGAGGCTCATGCACTGTGGCTGTTCTCCCTGCATCCATTAGCTCAGCAGTTAGTGTCCAGGCCCCATCCATGTGGCCACCAGGGTGCAGAGGCTGTGCTGGCTCTTTGCCTCATGTGCTCTTAGGAGTACACCGGTGGTTGTTGACTAAAGCAATTCACTTTCTCTTTATCAACTTTGGCGTCTGCAGAAGTGTTTGTTTTTAGACTTGAGTTACTGGTAAGTACAGGGCCAGGGTCAGGGACTGTGAACCCAGCAGATGGCTCTGCTTCTCGCCAAAGAAAAGATCTTTCTCTGGGGTCCCAAGGAGGGGAATGGAAGTGGGGGGATGGCAGCCCCCACAGTCAGCTCCTTCCCCATCTCCTCCACTGTGCCTGCCTTTCCCCACTGAAGGGCGGAATGGGGAAGAGGCGTCAGGAAGGGCCAGCAGTGTGGACCCTTGGCTTCTGGACTGTACACAGCAAGGATGTCTGCTAGTATCCCTTCCTCTGCCCTGCCACCATGAAGTAGGGGTGCCGTGGCCCTGGGATGATGGCGTGAGGGTCTGAAGGCTGTGCTGGGTAGTGACATGAGGCTGGGGAAGAGCTCCACCCTTTGCATCTGAACACACAGCAGCAGGCACTGACCTGTGTAACTTGTTCCTCCAGTGACACCAAAGTAGAGGATCCTGGCGTTGGTGGATTCATGCCTTTTGGCTTCTCTGGAGTCCTGTCAGGGGCAGCAACCTGCTTCTACGCCTTCGTGGGCTTCGACTGCATCGCCACCACAGGTACGCCTGCTGCTACCCGTGTGGCTGGAACGTGGGCATGGACCATCTTGTCTGTGACCCAAAGGGAGCTGGGGAAGACCCTGGTTCCCATGGGGCCACGCATTGCTGGGTGGGTCATAGCTGGTGTGTATGCTGTCTCCTGAGGCTGACCCTGGCCACTTTGTAGGTGAAGAGGTCAAGAACCCTCAGAAGGCCATCCCCGTGGGCATCGTCTCATCCCTGCTGATTTGCTTCGTCGCCTACTTTGGAGTATCCGCTGCGCTCACGCTCATGATGCCCTACATGTGCTTGGACAAGGACAGCCCGCTGCCCTATGCCTTCAAGCACGTGGGCTGGGAAGGCGCGAAGTACGCAGTGGCCGTGGGCTCCCTCTGCGCGCTGTCTGCCAGGTGAGGCAGGCGCCCTGCGCCACTGCTAGGGGTCCAAGGAGGCAATGCCTTCACCCAGCCTGTATGCCTTTCTCATCCCAAGGCTCATCTGTGTGATGCATACAGTTGTCCCACTTGCCCACAAGGGGGACAAATTCAGGACCCCCAGTGGATTGTCTGGAATGCAGATCAGATGGGATTGTAGGTGCACCTTACCCACACATAGCCTGTGACCCAGTTTAAGTTGGGAACTAGTTATAGTAAGAGCTGAACAGCACAGCTACCACCAAAATAGACTAGTTAGAGCAATATTCTGCACTAAAATTGATTTACAACATGAAGTGCATACTTCTGGAATTTAACACTATGCAGTTTTGACCCTTTTGTTTTCAGCCCCCTTGGAAAGTGAAACACCGGGCAAGGGGAAACCATCATGCTTTTTAAGTCTTGAGTCCTAGACCCACTTCTCACCGTCACTTGCTAGCATGAAACAGGCTTGCCTTCCCTGATTTTAATCATTGGACCAAGCCCCTTTGTGCCCACCACATTTTGGCCCAAAGTTTAGCTGTGAAGCAAGGGGGGAGGGAGTCTACTTTGAGAAGGGAAATGAGTACCTTTTAATGAGAAACATTTTGCCCACCACCCCCCCCCCCAGTGTTTCCTGCTGGTCTCTGTAAACAGGAGCTATTTCTGGAAAATTGATTGAACACGGAAAATTCCTTGTGAATGCAGCAATGCATTTATTTTCTGTCTGATCCAGCCAGCAGTGGCTGTAGGAATTAATATAAAATTTGTCTGGACAGAGCGAGAGACAGCTCCCATCTGCTGCTTCACTCCCCAAATGGCTGCAATGCCTAAGGGTTGGCCAGGCCCAAAACAGGAGCCTGGAACTCCGTCTCATCTCCTGTGTGCCTGGCAGGGCCTTACACAGCTGGTCCATCATCTGGCACATCAACAGGAACAAGGTCAAAGCTGAGCAGCCAGGATGTGATCCCACCCTCCAATATGGCCTGCCAGAGTTCTAAGAAGAGCTTAGCCATGAAGCCAGCCCTGCATCAAGGTTTTCATTGGCTGTCGTGCAGGTTTTTTTCAGATGAGCCCCATTCCTGACCTTAATCTATATGTACAGTTTGTGCTGTCCCTAGGGCTCGTTTGCTGAATGCCAGGACAGGCCGGGACCTCCTGCAGTGTGGAGGGGTGGCAGTCCCCGCTGATCGCCTGGCTGCCTCCCCACAGTGGGTGTGACTCCTCACAGCTTGCTCCCGCTCACGCATATTACTCTTCTTCACTGCTAGTCTTTTAGGTTCCATGTTTCCCATGCCTCGGGTCATCTACGCCATGGCTGAAGATGGACTGCTCTTCAAATTCCTGGCCAAAGTTAACAATAGGACCAAAACACCCATCATTGCCACGTTAACCTCGGGCGCCATTGCAGGTAGGTGCCTACACTCGGGTCCCAGTGCCACTGTCGGCACAGTGGAGCAAGTGCTGCCCGGTGAAAGGCTGTGAAGTATGCCAACCTGTGAGACATTTGACCTCGTCTTTTTCGTGCCTGGTTTCTACACTTGATCCTGTGTTGTGCAAAGATAACTGCCCGGGCCGTGAAAGGCACAGGCTGGCGTTACAGAGCCCGTATTGGAGATTCTCAGAGGGCTTGGCGTCCCTGTTACCCCCTGTGTACACAGAGCTTATAAACCTACCAGCCTTTGCAAGTCGTTCATCTCTCCCCTTCCCAGAGCGTCTTCCTGAAAAGACCCAGGTAGGCAGCTCTTCTTTCTCCTGGTACAGGCCCAGACAGATCTGTAAATTCAGGGCCCTTGTATCTTTAGCTCAGGAATTTTCTCTGGAAATCCAAGTGCCTCTAGAACTCTGCTGTATAAGGTTCCGCCTTGTCAGTGCCTCAGAGGATGGGAGTTATTACTGACGAGGCTGTTTATCCCCAGCTTGTAACTAATGGCAGGTGCAGGTCAAGGGGCGAGGTCTGTTCTGACAGATGAGTGTTGAGAGCATGGATGGGTCACATCAGTGTGGAGTCCTGGGATGTTCTTAGGGTTCCTGGGCAAGATAGATGGGAGAGAACCTGGGAGGGAGATGTTAGTGCCCAACACTGTCTGCTGTCACCCCTGCAGGGTCCCTCCTTCCATGCTTGCATTTGTAACCAGGACAGGTAGGTACCCTGGCTGTCCTCTGGCACAGATACAACAGTAGTGGAGGCCCAGGAAGGGAACAGGAGGGAAACTACACAGCCTGGGAGGGCAGAGTGGACACAGGATTTGTGGTTTGTGTTTACGCCAAAGAAGCCAGCCTCCTTCCAGGGTCTTAGTTAGCTGAGAACACATGTCAGTGGTCACAGGCTGTAGCAGTGGCTTGTTGACTGGACATTAAATGAATGCATTATATACTAAGTTTTGTTAGTATTTTTTTTTTACCTCCTCAGTAAATTTGCCCAGTCTTGTGGATTTTGTTTTTAGTGTTATATGTTCTTACATTGTTTTTACCATTATTTAACTTACTTGAGAGATGAAAAGACAATGCTCCCATCCATTGGTTTAGTCTTCAATAGGCATGATAGGGCCTGACCAAAGCCAGGAACTGGTGACTCCATCTGGGTCTCCCATGTGGGTAGCAAGGACCCAACTACTGGAGCCATCACCTGCTGCCTCCCAGAGCCTGTACTGGCAGGAAGGTGAGTGAAGAGCCAGAACTGCCCCCCCCCCCCCCAGCACTCTGCAATGGGATGTGGCCGTCCCAAGTGGTATCTTAAGCACTGCGCCAATGTCCACCTCTGGCTTAGCAGTCACTAGTAAAGGGAAGGTATGTTTTAAAAACTTACAAAATGACTTTTTATGTGGAATTCTACAATACTGTGAGTGATCATGGTGGTCACATTGAAAGCAGTATACTTCAAGATGTGGCCAGCATGTTTAAAGAATTCAGGAATAACAAGTGGAATTTTTTAGCTTCAACAATGTCATTTGTCAGTTTCTCCATCTGGACCAGACAGGTGACTTGTATTCCAAATGCAAATTTTAATTATGACTTTCATCTGCTTAGAGTTTTGTGTGTGTGATTTAGACCTGACCTGTCTTTTCTCTGAACAGTGGTTTTCCATGGAAGGGCTGGAGTGGGGAGAGCCAAAGCAGCGCCCCTCGCACGCCCTGGGCCACAGGTGGGTCTCAGATGTCGGCAGTAACCTTGCCGTCTGTCTTTTCCCAGCTGTGATGGCCTTCCTCTTTGACCTGAAGGATCTGGTGGACCTCATGTCGATCGGCACGCTGCTGGCGTACTCGTTGGTGGCTGCCTGCGTGCTGGTGTTACGGTATGTGCACATAACAGTGTGTTTTTGGAACAGAAGTGCAGGTGCACTGATGGCCTGGAGATGGTCCTACTGGATGGCGTCCATGCTGTAACTTTGAGGTTGGCAGTGGCTCCACTGGTCGCTGCTGAGGAGCAGCTGGAAGCTGGGACCTGGGAGTCTTATTGGGAAGATGTCCTTGAAACATGAGGAGTGACCCTACCTCCCTTTCCCTCGCTGCATGTAAGGATAAAGATAGATTCCCAGTGCCCCCACCCTCTTGGATCTGGGCCTGGCTCCTGGGAGTCAAAATGCTTGAAACCTCAGAGTAATGACTGAAACTTGGTCCGGGTTCCTTTGACAGTGGGGACCAGAGTTTGGCTCTGTTAGGTCCTGAGAGAATCCGTGGCAGGGAAGCACAAGCCCGTGTTATGCTTCTGCAGCCTGGGGCACTGTGGCTGCAGGAGTGTATGGCCAGTGCTGACTGCCTCGGTCAGCATTCAGGGACCCTTGCTGGTTGCCAGTTGCCCATCTTATGTGGACCATACACAGAAACAGTCAAATGTCTCTGGCCTTGGCTTGTGCCCTGATATCTACATCTTTCCCTCTCAAAGGACTTCCTTGGGCTCCTGCACTCCTGGGGACCAAGGTTTTCTGCTTTGGGGATGGTCAAGACAGCATCCACCACAAAAACACCTGCTCGTCAGCACTGTCAGCCAACCAGCAGGTGCCTTCCGCTTCATCTCAGGTGTTGACACCTGCAAGCCATGGCTTTATTTCTTAGGGACTCAGTGCCTAATTTACATGTAATCTGGGTGGAGCCTCCACCATCGCCGTGTAGAATCCAATGAATGAGTATGCAGACACCCCTAGTTCCCCCAGTTTCTTCACAGAGGCTCAGTGCTAGAATGTTTTCAGAGGCCCTGCCAGGTTCCTGAGTGAGGGAAGCTGCACTCATGAATTCACTCACTCTTTAAAGTGCTTATTTGCAACAGAGTTCAAAAAAGTTCTTCAAGGCCAAAGAGATTTGCCTGCTCTGGTCACTTTGGGTGGGGAGATAAGGAGCCACCCTTAAAGCTGCACTTTGCTCGCGGAAGCTTGTGAAAGCAGAAACCCTGCCTGCCACTCCTACACCCTGCACCACGGAGCTGTGCACTCCAAGGCTTCAGAGTTGTGCAATGCATTGATCCGATGCAGTCACACAAACTGTCTCAAAGCCTCCCGCTTGCAGGTGCATGCCCAGTGGAAACCTGCCATTACCACTTCCACTTTCGGTCCTTACTCGCAGTTCCCTTGGGCCGTGATCGGGTGAGAAGTGAATGATCCAGTGCTGTGATGTCGAGGGGCACTGTTCGTTTCGTAGGGGAACAGGAAGGTTGTTCAGGTCATTCCTCTCGGCTGTTGCGTGGTGAAAGCTGTGTGCCCCCAAATCAGAGACCTCAAAGGTGCAGAAGCAGCAGTCACGTCCCTCCTGTTGTGTCCCCACCCTGCGCCCTTCTGACCAGCTCTTTTCCATCAAGTTGCCCGTGTCCCAGGTGGCTCAGCCCTTGAAAACTTATTAAGAACTTTGAGTTGCTGTGTGTCCCCTTAGTTTGTTGGAGCTGATGGTGGTAACCACGCCCCATGTGTTTTTCCAAAGATACCAGCCCGAACAACCAAATCTGGTTTACCAGATGGCCAGGACAACTGATGAGCTCGATCATGTGGACCAGCATGAGCTTGTGAGCACCAGTGACTCCCAGACAGGCTTTCTGCCCAAAGCAGAGAAGTTCTGTTTGAAAGCCGTATTCTCACCCAAAAACATAGAGCCTTCCAAATTCTCTGGGCTAATCGTGAACATCTCGGCCAGTCTCATAGGTAAGACATGAGGACCCTGCTTGCCAGCTTCGCATTTCTCTGTCACTAGGGTTGGGGGCAGTAGCCAGTGTCTAGCTTCCTGCTGGACTGCAGTGTCAGGTGTCAGTCATTCTGGCCTGACTGTAGCTGATGGCACTGAGCCCTGCTCTAGATGGCTTCAGGGGAGAACTTGGGGACACCAAGGGGTCTTGAGAAATGGCTGATTTGCATCTCTGTGTCTCTGCTGCCCCTCAGCCGTTCTTATCATCACCGTGTGCATCGTGGCCGTGCTTTGCAAGGGCACACCACTCTGGGCTATCTTTGTGCTCACTGGGTCTTCCCTGCTGTGTGTGCTGGTCACGGGCATCATCTGGAGACAGCCTGAGAGCAAGACCAAGCTCTCATTCAAGGTGAGCAGCTGGGGCCCCCAGGCATGTGGGGAACCTCAAGGTGGGCTGCAGACCCTGGCCTTTCTGCTGGGGTGGGGGCTTGGCTGCTCCAGAGGGAGGTGCATGTGAGCCAACAGTGGGGCGTTGTGGAGCAGGGGTCTCCAAGGACCTGACTCTGGACGTGGCAGCCCTCTTCCCCACCATGGCTCCCTGGAGGTGTACCTGTCCCCAGGGATGTCTTGTAAGTGTCAGTTCAAGGGATTCGTGCGTCATTTTCAAAAACCTGCGTTATTAGATACACAGATAATCCAACCTTAGAGAGAGATGACACAGCAATCATTCTTGTTCAACAAGAAAACAGCAAGACTAACAGGGAGCTCATCTGGTGATGAGCAAGTTGGGATCAGAGCCCTGCTCGATGATCGCTTGTCCCTGGCTGGGGAGGCAGTGCTTGTGACGGAGCCTCCGGTATGTCTCTGCAGGTGCCTTTCCTGCCGGTGCTGCCGATCCTGAGCATCTTTGTGAACGTCTATCTCATGATGCAGCTGGATCAGGGCACCTGGGTCCGGTTTGCGGTGTGGATGCTAATAGGTACGTGTCTCTGGGGACCAGCACGGCCAACATCCTGGCTCCTGGTTGGGTGGGATGGCGTGGGGGTTGGAGACTCTTCCCGTGGCTCCTCCCTTCCTCCAGCCGGTTCGGGGTGTGTGCGTGTGTCCGATTCCATAATGAACACACAGTCAGCGTTTCTCTCCTCTGCTGACAGTGGTGGCTTGTGTGTCAGGTTGTGTGGGAGGGGCTGCGGGGCAGGGAATGGGACAGTGGCTCCAGTCCTCTCAGATCTCAGCATGTTCCCATCACATGACGTCAGCCGGCATGGACGCAGCCCAGTCTGGGGCCCGCTGACCACCTGGAGGCCGACCCTCTGTAGTGCTCGGCGTGCCCCCACCTCTGGGCCTCTGCTCCGTGGAGGCAAGGGGGCACAGAGGCTGCACTCAGCCTTTAAGTCCTTCATTGCGGATGTGGGGGGAACGGGGGAAGGCCTTGACCTTCCCATTCCTCCACCTGACTGTGTCCCTGCCAGTCCTCACGGCCCTGGGTGCAGGTACTATGGGGAATAGGGCTACTGCCTGTGGGTCTGCCGGGGCTCACGAAGGGCCACCCAAGTGACTTCTCCATGCTTCTGGACCTCCCAGACATGGCCTTGGGGGGTAAAGTGTAAGGGCTGAGGGCACCCAGGAGGGCACATAGCTATCCCTCATGTGTGAAGGACGCTGCCCTTGGCTGACTCAGTGTGTTGCCTGTCCAGATGGGGAAAACTCAGCCCTTGTCTCTCTCTGCAGGCTTCGCCATCTACTTCGGCTACGGGCTGTGGCACAGTGAGGAGGCATCCCTGGCCAACGGCCAGGCAAGGACTCCTGACAGCAACCTGGAGCAGCGCAAGTGACGCGCAGCCCCGCCCCACGAGGGCCACCTACAGAGGCCCAGGAAGACCCCTGCCCTCACCAGCAGGGCCTTGGGACCTACCCACATCCCCAGCACCTCCAAAGGGGCCATTACTTGAACCCTAGCCTTGGCCACAACCGCCGCCGTGGCCTGGTCACCTCTGGCAGCTCCCTGGCGGGTGGGGCAGCTTAGCTGGGGCGACCGCCATCCATGTCTCCTCGCCCTGCCCCATCCACCTCACTGAAGCCAAAAGGCAGCAAAGCACTTGTCCTCTCAGCTCCGTGCCCACACCCGTGCCACCGGGGGCTCCAGGACCACACCTGGCATTGTGAACTGTGTCCTCCGCCAGAGGCTCCTGCAGCCCCAGACTGAAGATGAGCACTCCCTCCGGCACATCTCCAGGCCTCAGCTGTTTACCTAAGATGGAGAAGTGGTACCCAGCATCCTGCCAACTGCTGCCCTCCCCTCCGTGACTTGTGTGCATGCTGGGCTGCAGCACCAGCTCTGGGATGCAGGCAGGGGTTGGTCTTAGGAGGAAGGGCACACACCCAGTGGGAGCAGCGGTGCTGGGGCCAGCAGACTCCCGCACATACATGCATGTGTGTGCGGGCATGCGTGCAGACTGGGTGGTGTTCTGCCACATTCCCTCCAAGCCTCCAGCCCATCCTTGTTGCCACTGGCCTCCCTCTGGGTCCTGAGTAACTGGAACATGAGACTACAGTGGGGGCAGGCTTGGCTTCCTAACGCCGGAGTTTGGAACTTTGGCTCTTCCACACGGAGCTTGTCCAGTCCCCCCCTCCCCTAATTCTTGGCCTTTTTGGCTTTCAGTCTCTTGGTTCTCGGAGCAGGAAGCAGCTTGGGGCCAGGGTGGTGGCAGAGTCAGGTCCTGATGCTCGGGACCCCCAGCGTGCTCTGTGCAGCCTCTTGCTGATGTGTAATGGGTTTGAATCTTAGCAGCCGCTGTGGCTCCCTGCACCGCGTGGATATGGGGCTTGACTTGGAAAAATGATACAGATCATTACCACCTGCCAGGGCTGACAGGTCAGAGTGCGGTCATGTTACTACCCCCTTGGTGTGTCTGTCAGTCATACACATGCTGCAGCTTCGCATCCTTGCACCCTGCCCTGGGCTTCAGGCCTCTGTGTAACAGAGCTGCAGGTTTTACTGGGACCCCAGTGTAGTGTCCCCCACCCCGCCCCTGCTGCTCCTGCTATACACTAGGCACTCTGCACCCACTCCCTCCCCGGGCTTGGGGTGGGGCTAGGGGCAACCCCATTTCACACACTCCTAGGAGAGTATCGAGGAGCCCTCCACATTCGGAATATCCTGCAAGAACCATCAGGCCCCTGTGTTCGTGGGACGGGTGGCATTTGGGATGTTACCAGAAGTAACAGATGCTGCTTTCCAAGCTGAAGTTTCCCTTTTTTCCCCAGTCTGTCCTCGACATGGAAAAAGCCCGACAAATTGACTGTGTTCGTCTTTCATCTTGTTCTCTGAGAGAAATGCAAGAATGAGAGTGAATGCATCCCAGAGGCTGATGAGTTTGTTGGCTTGGTGGGTGGGGCCTCCATGGGCTCCACCCCTGAGCCAAGCACCTGCCCACCTGCTGGAAGCTGTATTCCTAACACCACCTGCTGGTGTTCTAGGAGTAGCAAGAAGCTCAAAGCTCGGCTTTCCAAAGAAAGATATTTAAATTTATGTAGATTTGGTGCTGTAAAAATATTTTGATAAATATTAACTTATTTTGTTGGGGTTTTGGTTGTCTGTTGTTTTCTTAGGACCTAGTAGCTTTTCATTTGCTTTTTTTCCCCCCCTTGTTATTTTCCAAATGAGGCAAAGAGAACTTGAGGGATAGAGTGGTTCAAGGACAGTTAGGGACAGGGCAGATCGTTTTTTGTTTTCAAACCTCTTTCATTTTGGCTGAGACATCCATGGAGGCGTGCAGCGGAGGGCCCAGCTGATCACGTGTGACCCTCCACAGAGTGAAGATGTGTTGTGTGCCTCATTCGGGCGCCTTCATGCCTGCCCTCGGGTGGGATCACGAGGCACAAGCTGCCCCGTGCCCGCTGGTTAGAGGAGGGACTTCTGGTCAGCAGCCGATACTCCAGCCTGGACCCCAGCTTTAAGCCCAGTGCTGTGTGCTTCTGTCCAGGAAGCATTCTGATGACCAGGGTGGGACCTTAGCAGTGCTGTTTGAGGCGAGCCTCTTAACACATCCTTCTTTGTATCCTCTGAACACACACAGAGGCACACAGATGGGCCCTTTGTTTTACAAGATTGATTTTGTCTCATTTGAAAAAGTTATGGAGAAAGGAAAAGGCAGACATTCCATCCACTGGTTCATTCCTTGGATGGCTGCATCGGCCAGAGCTGAGCAGACCAAAGCCAGGAGCTGCTTTGTCTCCCACGTGGATGGCAGGGGCCGAGGATTTGGGCCATCCTCTGCTGCTTTCCCAGGCTCGTTAGAGGGGTGCTGCCTCGGAGGTAGAACTGCTGGAATTCAGATTGTCAAGGTGTAGCTTAAACAGCTGGCCCCAATTCCTGAGGAGCCCAGCACCTGAGCCCAGGGCTCTGTTAGACAGACAGTAGGGGTGCCCAGCATATCAGCAGAGGCTGGGAAGGGTGTGGGAACTCTGCATGCCCCGCCCCCTCTGCTCTTTCTCTTCCCACTCCATCAGAGTTCCCCAGGACAGGTGCGACCAGAGCACATAGAGGCTACAGCCAGGCCTCTAGGTGGGGCCACGGCTGTTGTGGCTCAGGTGTCGGGTTCATGGCGGGAAGTTTGCGCATGCACACACGTACCTTTTCATGATGCCCAGCTTCTGTAGCCAGCCAGTCCCAGCCTGACTATCCCAGGGTGGGTGGATGACAGTGTTCAAACCAAGCTTCAAATAGGTGGCAGCTGCTTGGGGCAGAGGGTGTATGACTTTTGTATGGGACTTTTTATACACAGGTCACCTTCTTAAGGAACTAAATCCATGTCACGTTTCATTGTATATAATGTAAACTGTTAGCTATGGTCATGAGTATTACAAGTCAGGTTCCCCAGGAAGGTTAGACTCCCTGGGGAGTGGCGTTTTGGGGTATGTAACCAATCCTTTATGGATCCAGGTATGCCAGATGCTACCTGGTGTACACATCAGCAAGGTTGAGATGCCTAATGGATGTTTTTAGGAAAAAAAAGCCAACTGCTTTTGGTCTTCACTCAACTGCAATTTTTGCGTGCCTGTTGCCCCTTTGAGCCACTGTGTGCTCTTTCCAGCAGGAGGGGGCTGCGGCCTGGCTCACCAAGCAGGCCCCCGGAAAACCGCTAAATGCTTGGAACGGGGGCCTGGCAGCCCCACACAAGGAGAGAGGCCAGGGCCTGGCAGATCATCTCAGGGCAGGAGTGCCTCCAGCAGGGGCAGGAAGCTGGCCAGGAGGAGGCATTCGGACATGGTTAATTTATTAACAAGGCCTCTGACTTGGCTGTTTTCCTCCCGGACAAACTTGTAGGTTGTATACTTGTTTTTCCTTCGGAGAAGTTATCTATTTAAGATACATTTCCTGCTTACGTTGTGCCTTTCAGCTTCAGTGGGTTTTAGGTGCTGCTGAAGAGGGTGGGTTTATTAGCAAGCCTGAATAGCTGTGGTTCGCAGCCTACTTTTTTCTGCTACTGAATATGGAGCCATGTTGGAGAGTTGCGCATTTTTTATTCTGTATATTGTATGATAATTTTGCTTGTTTGATGTTCTATTTTTCTAACAGTTTATTTCCCCCTTGGAGTTTCTTAGATTTAGATCCCAATGCTAATTGCCAACCAGGTTGGCCTTCCTCCTGTCTAATATTTTGTTTCCTAAAGGACAAGCAGGTGTCATATGTCACGTATTTAAAAAAAAATGTGAAACTCCGCCCTATCCCTTTCTGTACATTGACCATGTCCCATTGTGCTTTCCATGGCAAAAAAAAAGAAAAAAGGAAAAAAGCCATCTTGGGCTGCATTATCTCATGCTTTCGCAACGTTAATAAATTCCATCTCTGCCTTCCATGTGCTCGCTGTGCTCTTGGGAATTCTGACAACGTGACCACACACCCCCACGGGAACTTCCAGATCCTGCTCGGCTCTCCCTGACCCCCAACACTTGATGGCCTTCTCTGCCTGGTCTCAGTGCTCCTGCAGTAACTGGAGGTGAAACGAAGAGGAAGGAGAGGACTTCTCATTTCAACCGTGAGCCTCAGGCAGGGACCTTGCATGCTTGGGTTTGGCACCGCCCCCAGGAGAAGCCGGTGGGCATCTGCTTGGGTCTAGGGCAGCCGGCTTTGGCCTGCAGAATGAGGCGGATGGGGCTGAACTAAAGACCTGACACTCCTTAGAGAAAGGAAGTGAGGTCTGTGTGTGTGTGTGTGTGTGTGTGTGTGTGTGTGTGTGAGGGGTTGGGGGGTTGTGGCAAGAGGTTGTTGGGGTCCGGTGGGCTTTCATTCCCAGACACTGGAACAGCAAATAGATATGTTGTCTGGGTGACAAGCTTTCGCTCATGATAGTTTTTTTGTCTCAGCATAGAGGAAATTGAGGCAACTGCCCAGGGAGGCCAATAGACTGCCCTTCCAGGCGTGCATGCTCACGCTGCACGTCCCTCGGGAGAGTGCGGGCAGGGTGACACAGCCAAGGGACATGCAGGTTTGTCAGGGATGGTGGAGCAGCAGTGGGCCGTTCAGTTCCCTACCCCTGAAATGCGATTACCTAAGTTAGGCTGCAGGGAGGTGGGAGCCAGAGACCAGTCCCCCTGTCTTGCACACAGCAGGCCTGCCTGGCAAAACAGCCAGGGTTACCCTAGGGGTCCGAGAATCAGGCCATGAAAAGGGGCACACCTTGTTCCTGGATGCTCTTGTGCGCTGGTCAGGGCGCGAGGTGGCTCCTGCGTCCCGCGACGCTACACCGCCACCTGGCGGCGGCAGTGCGGTTGCGCAGGCAACTCGAAAATCGCTGCCTACTTTTTCCAAGCCTTCCAGCCAGAGCCCTATCAGTCTAGGAGCAACTTGTTCTCCCAGTTTGGCTAGGAGACACTTGGGGCAAATTATCTTAGCTGTGCGCAGAGGGCGTCTGTGTTGAATTATGCAGGCTGAGGTGATTCCCCACACCTGCAAATCTGTTTTCAGCACTGGGCTTGACTCAATCACCCGCCCCGCTTCCCCCTCTGCCCAACTGGCACCAGCGAAGTTCTACAGGATCAGGCCTGTTTGCCAAGCTGTGCCAAGTAGCCATTTAAAGCAATGTAGAGTCGCAAGAAGGCTGTGGGAATCAAACAGGCAATAACTGCGGCGTTGAGCCAGGAAGCCCACCCCCAGCCTCGGTAACCTGGGTGCAAAGGGGAAGCCACTTGGTACAGTGAGGACTGGCTGGAGAATATGCAGTCTGGCCACAGGCTGAGTCACATGCTCAAAGCTGCAGTATTGATGCCTAGGGGGTCAGCAGCTCTCTGCTGGGAGCTGGTGGGGAAAGGGCTTGCACCCCATGTGTTCATGCTGGGCTTCTAACTGCAAAGGGCCCCTCCTCACCACTGCCAAGGAGATAGCCTATGTTTCCCATGTAGGACAGTGCAGATGGCCCATGCCTTAGCATGGAGGTGGTGACTGACTTGGCCTTTAGGCTCGCGGGAGGAGGGGGGTGGTCTGCACGGTGGCCATAGGATCCGGCCTCCAGGCAGAGGGTTGTCCCAGATCTGATTTCCTGCAGGTGTCTCCTTGTTTTCTGCCTGCATGGAGGGTGGCAAAATGATGGGGTTGGCTGCCACACAGTGGAGGGCTGAATGGACTGAGGCAGGTTGAAAGCAACAGGTGGACACTGTCAAGCATCTGGGCAGGATGGAGGATCAAGGGGGTACTCTGTAGTGCTTCCCTTGGGGTCCAGAGAGCACTGGACATGTGTCATACACAGTCTGATGCCCAGTGGCCACCAGGGCCACTCCCATGCACCCTGCAAAACCATAAAGGGAACTGGGGTCCCTCTGTGATCCCAAAAGCACCAGGCACCTGCAGGACACTACAGGGTTGAGCTGGCCAGCTGCCTTCACTGACGGCAGTGGAATCATGGGAGTAGTGCTCTCAGGGAAAAACAGGTGAAAAAAATTTTGAGATCTATGCATCATTTATTATTTTAATAATATGCATTTTCCAGGAATTTTTTGAAGACCCTTCAAAATGCACAGATTTCAAAATTTTCAAAACCAAATGAAAACATTTCACTCCCATTTTCCATGAATTTTTTGTAGCACCAAGGTCTGAGTTGGACACATAACTGTATCCTTCTTCTAACCCACACTGTCCCCCTACCTCACCTGGTGGAGTAGAGCTGCTGGTTTCACAAGTACAAGTCTCCAACTGCCTGAAGACTCAGTACGTCTAGGTGGACGGCCTTGGTGACAATAGGTGCCCTTGGCATACACACAAAAAGGAACCCAGCCTGCGCACGCACACACACACACACACACACCACTACCCTCCCTTTACCTCCCCTGCCTGGGGACCCCCAGCCTGAGAGGGGCAACTCTCCAGTTACATCAAGTGCATATCACAGCAAGTCCCTCAAGTTCATTTTAATCAGCTTGAAACACAAGTATGCAACACAGACATGGAAGGGGCAGTCGGAGGAATGTGGTGACCCCGTTCAACTCACCCCAGAGAGTGCCAGCCCTCCCGCGCCCCGCCCCCAAAGTCTCACTCCCACCCCCATCCAGAACCACACTGGTGTAGCTGGGCAAGGGGTACAGGACAGCCCAATGGCCATGCCTCCCAGTGGCCACGGGAGGTGCTGTTTGCTGGGTCATTTCCTCTGCAGCAGGTGGGACTGCACAGAGGCCCAGCCTTGGATGGAGACAGAGGCTGACTTCCACGGCGAGACAAGCCCAAATCGTGATCGTGTATGTGTACATGTGTTTGTAGGGGAGGAGGATATCCAGGAAGGAGGTGCAACAGCTGCTGCCCCATGTGTTGCAAGAATAGAAACGACTCAGGTGAGAGGAGTTACACGTGATGGGTGTCCATGGAGAACAAAACCAAAACTGGGGTCACGTGGAAATCAGCTCCAACCCAAGGTCAAGGCTCTTGAGGGCAGAGCTCTAGTCTGCTGTGTAGGATGAGGGATCACCTAGTGCTACCATCGCTACCACTGGCACCGCACGGCCTAACACACAGCACCACACTCTAACACCACAGGGAGGTTCTGTATCGCTGGGTAACGGCGTGGAGCAGGCACAGCTACGTGAGCACTTCCTAATTCAGACAGCGAAGCTGCAGCCCAGCTACCTGCTGTGTGCAGCCCGTGCCTGCTAAGAGAATAAATAATTGTGTATTTAGCCAACGTGGCGTGATCTCTACTCTAACAGGATGCCCAACTCAGTACCATAGAATCATGCAGAGCCACGAAGGCAAAAAGAAAGGTTTCTCTGCTAGCTATCTACCATGTATGGCCCCGAGATGGACGTGACCTCTGCAGGTCTGATAGCACCAAGAGGGGTCCGAGGCCAGGAAGCCCCACTTGGAACCAAGTCACCAGCACAGGTGTCAGGCACACCCTTTGGGTGGCTTCCTGCTTCCTGTCCTCTGATGCTGACCCCTGTATAGGTCCTCTTGGCCCTTAATACTTAGGGTAGGTTGAGTGGGGGTGGTATTAGGAAGAAGATACAGGGTCTTTGTGAGGTACAGGAAGCAAAGGCACCACCACCACCACACCGTCAGGACTACTCTCGCGTGTGCATCATGGGCCTAACCCTGCACACTACTACGTGAATACCTTCCACATTCTAACCACCACTGCCCAGATGGATGCCAGTCATCCAGCGGCCGGTGAGTCCCAGGGCTGGCTGGTCCATGGGCTCCCTGGTCTGGGGTGAACCCTCCCAGCCTGAGTTGGGACCAACAGAAAGGATGGCTGATTTCCTAGTTGTGTGGTGATCAAACACAATTTGGAACTGGTTCCCCAGGACAGAAAGGTGGGTTGTTCTGGAAGTCTCTGTTAGAACCCTCCGAGCCATCTTCCTGTTGCAGGAATGGCGCTTGAGTGAGTAAACTGAATTGCAGTGGGGAGATGACCTATGCAAGAAGTCTGAGGGTGGATTTGCACGGAATAGACCGCATTCAGCATCGCCTCAGGGCAGACAGACAGAATGCGGGACTGCTGCCCTTACTCAGCCCGGCCAACACAGGGATGCTCATGGCCAGGCTTCCTCCACCAGGGCGGTCCAGGAAGGGTCTTGGTAATCTCCAAACTCACTCTCACCCTTGAAGATCACCTTCTCCTACCATGCCCAGAGGGTGCAATTCTGAGATGCCATTGAGGAAAAAAAGCAAAACTTGTGTTTACAAGAGTGTAGATGAGTCACTGTCTCGAGTGCCACCTGCGGAGCTGCAGGGTCCCTTGGCTTGCCCACTGCTGCCCCCGTCCACTCACAGAAGGTGAACTTATGAAAACCCGTGAATGGCATAAGAGTGAACCCACAGCACGCCGAGTTGGAGGCAGCTGACTGTTCCAATAGCAGTCACCGTGCGCTGGTGTTTACATTAAATAGTGTAGTACCACTCGGTGGTAGTTTGAAAGGCGCTTTTTTTTAAAAAACCGTATTTTCTATTTTGGGTAGAAATACTCCTGGGAAACTCGATAGAAATGCATTTTCATTTCCCAATAATTCTTAGGCACAAGTTAGAAAACTGCTGACCTTCAATAAAATACGTCAGCACTTCATGTTATAAAAAATGCAATTGAGAACCGTCGCATGTGCATATCCGTGTATCTAAATACACACACACACACACTCATCGGTGCAGTATGCAATGATGATTCAATGTATATCGAAAATTGAGCTCTTCATAACTAACCTGAAATTCTGCAGTGAAAGTTCACTCGAGAACAATTGGAGTTGTCTTTCTTTTGGCTCTAACTGTGGTAAACTGATTGCACATCAGACTACTGTTCACATCTTCCAATATGCCAACACCAGGACAGTCTTACATGGGGTGGGGTCAGGAGGACGCTGTCTAGAATGCAATGCTGCAGCTAACGAGCATGCACGCAGGGCCTGCTCCGGGGCTGGGGTGGGGCCCGACACTGGGTCTGTCCACCTGCAAGGTGGACTGGAAGCCAGTGCTCCCCTACGCTGTGTGGTGACATCATCTGGGCGTCGTGCTGATTCTGGCTGGAGAGGAGGGCCCCGAGGAGGAGCCCCGGTAAATCGGAGACGTTGGGGAGAGTTTAATGGGACTGGTGGGATCCCCGGTTTGGAGTTTCCAAAGGAGTTCTTCGTTGGTTCGGCTCAGCCTCTTCTTCTCCTGGGTCTCCTTCTCCACATACTCCTGGAGATTGGCGTTCTCCTCCGACAGTTGCCTGCACCAGGGAGAAGGACTGTCAGCAGCTTGCAAAGCATGCTTGCGCAGGGGTGAGGACAGCGCTGAGGCAAGAGCTGGCCCCAGGCCACCCAGGGAAACCAATGCTGCTTCTCCTGCCCTACCCCCCATCACCTCCCACAGTCATGGGTATCCAGTCTCCAACTAACACCCCAGCAAGCCCTCTATCTGGTCAGGGGAGGTGCTGCTTGTCCAGGAGACAGAGGCTGCAGTGCAGGGAGGAAGGCCACGTAGCTGTGTCACCCCCATGGCAGCTAGGGATGCCTTCTCCCCAACCTCTGCTTCTCTCTGCCTTCCCTGCAGTGGCCATGAGGGTCTTTAAGTTTTCCTGCGTGCAGCACCCATGGGTGCAGAAGCACTGGCACCCAGGCTCTGTGGGCTGTCTCTTGGGCAGGCACAAGCCAGAGCACAAGCACACAGTAAGCGTTCAGTTAATGCTTGCAGATCAGGGACGTGAAAAGAAAATCATTTGCTACATTTGGACCTTCTGAGCCTTAGCTTTGCTCCATTTCTTCAAAAAAAAAAAAATGTTAAAAAGGTAGCGCCTTTGAGAAGGGACAAGAATCAGCACAGGCACATTTGGCAGCTGCACAGACCAGGCCCCAGGAAAATCACCCTCTAGGATGTCAGGGACACCTGCAGGGCCGTCACTGCAGGGAGTGGAGGTGGGCAGGGGGAGCTGGCTGCCCATGCCTGGGGCTTAGGGCTAGAGGGGCAAAGGCAATGATACCTGTGCCCCCAGCACAAAACACTGCATCAGACGTGGGCGCAGTGGGCATAGGAGTGTGCAGGCATGCGAAGGCAAATGTTTGAATGTGAGCGCATGTTTGTGAGTAAGGGTAAGTGTGCAATCATGAGGGCATGTGACATTAGCCATTGCTGAGAGTGACCACATGAGTGTGAGGTGTGAGCATGCCAGATCCAGGTGAGTGTGCAGTGCCTCTGTGTGTGTATGCGGGTATGTGCATGCTCACAGGGTGACATGCCATGCAAGTGGGGTTGCATTCTGTAGAGCCGGCAAAGTTCTGGCTGAGCTGCCTCTGCCAAAGTGGACTAAATGATTTCCAGCGTGCTGAAGAAGCCCAGAGTCTGTTCTTTCATCCACTCTTAGCTGTGGACAGGAGTGGCTTTTGCCTGCTTCCCCAGAAATTAGGGCACCGCAAGGACAGGAAGGACAGACTGGATTTCTGGAAATGTGGAATATCTCTCTCAGCCATGGTTCTCGCTGGCTTGAGGACATCCATTAGACATCTCTTTCCAAAAAAAAACAAGAAGTTTCAGTGCTATTGGGGACCAGGCCACCTGCTGGGTAGCTGCACTCATCTGTCCCCAGATGGGGCTCCCTGCTGATCCCAGGATGACCTTTTGCTTTTCCGGAGCTACTGGAGTCAAAGAGAGACTCTATGCGGAGGTCTCACAGCTCAGGGTGAGGGAGAGGCAGTCAGCAGCAAAGGCAGTCCAGGGGCGGCACCTGGCGTGGCGTCAGCCCAGAGGCCACCTGCCCACCTGGTGACAACCGTGTTCTGGTCGATCCTTGCTTTGAGGTCTTCGTTCTGCTGCTGCAGCACCTGGATCTTTTCCTCCAGGATGATGTTCTTTTCCGCCTAGAGAGGACACAGTGTTAGCAGGATTCCAGCCAGGATGTGAGGAGAGCAGGACGACTGTGCCCTTGGCCTCTGGGCTATGGGTGTTGCCACAAGGCTGAAGGCAAGGTCTTTGTGGCTCACCACATCAGGGAAGGGGGATGCGACCCATGTTTCTTCTTTTAGACAAAATGGGATACAAAATGCCAGAGTGTGTTATAGGCAATAAAGGATTTTAAAAATAAACAAATGCTACAACCGTGTGTGTGTGTGTGTGTAGTAGCTTTCTTTCTAAATAGAGTACTTCCTACAGTCAGTGTCCCAGGTCCTTGCCATTGTCAGAGATGAGACACCACCAGCACCAGGATCTAGCGTGATGAGCGAATCTCAAAGTCTCAACTAGGCACACCACAGCCACAGGGGCTCCACTTGGAAGCACAGTGAGGCCAAAAGAAGCTAAGAACTCAAAGTCCCAAACCAACTTGGCACGTTAGAAAGTCTGTCCCTGCTTCTTTACCACGTAGGCCCTTCTCTCTGGCAGTGTGTCCCTGAGAGCCTGCAAGACGGTTCAAGTACAGTTCCTCTCCAAGATGAATTTAAGAAACAAATAATTTATTTTAAAGATTTATTTGTGAGGCTGGCGCAGTAGCATAGTGGCTAAAGTTCTTGCCTTATATGTGCCAGGATCCCATATCAGCGCCCGTTTGTGTTCCAGATGCTTCACTTCCCACTCGGCTCCCTGCTTGGGGCCTAGGAAAGCAGTCAAGGATGGCCCAAAACCTTGGGACCCTGCACCTGCATGGAAGAACCAGAAGAAGCTCCTGCCTCCCGGCTTCAGATCAGCTCAGGTACAGCTGCTGCAGCCACTTGGGGAATGAACCAGTGAAAGGAAGATCTTTCTCTGTCTCTCCTTCTCTGTAAAATACGATTTTCCAATAAAAATAAGTAAATCTTTAAAATATATATTTGTTTGAAAGGCATAGTGACAGGGGAGGGAGGAGAGAGAGAGAGAATCTTTTGTTCACTGCTGAACTCCCTAAATGATGCCTGCATCAGGGCTGGGCTGGGCGAAAGCTGGAGTTTCGGAACTCCATCAGGGTCTGCCATGTGGGTAGCAGGAGCCTGAGCAACTGGGTTCTGATCCGTCCACACTGACACGCACAGGGAGCAGGTGTGAAAGCAGATGAGCTGGGGTGTGAACAGGTACTCCGATTTGGGATGCAGGCAGGTAACCTACGTGGTGGCTTAACTCGCTCCGCTACAACACTCGCCCCACAGGTTATTTTCTGAGCATGAGGCGTTTGGCCTAGTGGTTGAGGTACAGGTCCAGATGCCCAACTTTTGCATCAGAGGCCCTGGGTTCAGTTCCCCATTCAGGCTTCTGGCTACAGCTTCCTGCAAAAGAGAACCCACAAAGGTAACAGTGATGGCTCAAGTAATTGGGTTTCTGCTATCCTATGAGAGATCTGCACTGAGATCCTGGGTCCAGCCCTCGTCCAGCCCCAGGTGTTGGAGTCAGAGGGAGCTGACCAGTGAATGCAACCTCTCTCCCCACCATCCTTTCTCTCAAACAAGCAAACAAAAATAGCTTGAAAAGACTCTGAAACACGCATTGTTCATGCTGCTGCTCTTTCAAGAAAATGTCACATGCCCATGATTAGATCTTGGGAATCAGAGCCACAGGGTAGGCATTTGTTCCTGATCTTAGCAAGGCATGCTGCCAGGCTCTCATCTTCATTTCCAGGAAACAAGGAGTGGACAAACAGGTTCTCTTGTGCCTGCAAGGGTCGCTGGGATGTAAAAGCCATGCATCCCTATAGGAACCTTGAAACAGGAAGGCTGAGGCAGACTTGGTGGAACTGGACCAGCCAGGAGGAGGAAGAGGAGAGTGGGGAGGGGAAGAACGGCTGGTTGCTCTATGAGAGGTTGTCCCAATCCTAGGAGGGTGGTGTGGTGAGTTCAGGAAAAGCAGGCCTGGTCAGCCTGGGAAGTTCTGAGAGGTGCCGAGTGGCCCATGTTATCCAGGGTGTTGGTGATAGACACAGCCCAGTCTACTTTCCCCAATAACCGAAGAAGCACCTGACTAGCCAGAGGTGTGGTAAAAAGGGACAAAACAGTCAGTATAGTGAGTATTCCCGGGCTGGCACCTGGCCTAGATCAACCAGCTGCCGAGAGCAGGTCCGAGCCAGATGGGCACCTGCGGAATCGGGTGAGATGATTTGCTCCTGGAATGGCACATTAAAGACTTCCTGACTCAAAAGGGGCCCAGAACACTCATTCAGTCTCATACACATGATGTGTGTGGACACACACGCCCAGAGAAAACGCTCCAGCAAGTGTGAACCGTGACAGAAATGGAATGTTTAATTTTTAAATAATTTTTGTGCATCTAATAATTTCATGTAATATACATTTGAGTACTTCCCTGATCATAGCTAAAGGTTATTTTGAAAACCAGGAAAAGAAAGTCAGGACTATCTGATACCCTTGGGCTAGCTTCCACAATGACACGGTCTCTGCAGAAGCAGGTATCACTCCTGGGCACCTTCTCTGCCCCTAGCCCTTGCTGGGGCCTTGTGCCTACTGGTAGAAGCTAAAGCCCCAGGTGTACTGGCCCCCTTTGCTGGTTCCGCAGGAGCCAGGCAGGAGGCTAAGGTGGAAAGTCTTGGTGAGGGGGTTTTGATGTAGACCAAGTGTGTGTGTGTGTGTGTGTGTGTGTGTCTACCCAGAAATGCCTGGCTCCCAAAATCTTGAAATCTTGGCTCCCAAAGGTGTGATACTGAGAGGCAGAGATGAATTGGCCCTAAACAGGAGCAGTGCTCACAGCAAATGAGCCCCAGGCCGTCCTCCTGCTGCCTCCAGTGTGCAGACCCTGGGCATCTGCCTGGACACAGCAGTGGTGGCACTGGTCTCTCCCCAGGCCTGCATCTCTCGTGTGTCACACAGCTCCTGCTGGCACCTGTTGTCTAGCCTGGCTGTCAAACTGTGCCCAGTGCCTGGTACATCAGTGACACTCCAGGGGGCTGGTCATCACACATTGTCCCAGGGGACATCATGCTTTTACAGGAAAACCAGAGAAGGGAAGACATCATCAGGAGTTGGGCTCAAGTGAGACCATCGCCATGATGTCTTCTCAGACACCCTGGTTTCCTGACATTGTCCTTGGGGCTCAGCTAGACTCCTGATGAGGAAGAGTAAACACTGAGCAGGACAGGGACACGCCTGGCTGAACAGGGGGTCCTGAGGGACGAAGATGTCAGTGATGATGGTACAGGAGGCATGGCCTCTACCAGCCCCCTCCCCACCCACCCCTGAGTGAACAGACTAGCTCACCAGCTTCTCCAGCTCAAGGATCTTCTTCTCCTGCTGGTGGATCTGCTGATTCTTCATCTCCAACACCTGCTTCAGGCTCTTCATGTCCTCCTCCAAGTGCTGATAGGGAGCCAGTGCGATCTACAGAGGCAGGACAACGAGCTGATGGCTGGGGTCCCCCGGCCCCCCAGTATGAACCCAGGCCAATTTGAATCGGGCTAAATTCAGACCTTGGTGACAAATTTTCCCAGTGGGCAGCTACAGCTTTCTGAACTCAGGTGATACCTCTCTCTCCCTTCCTCTGGGTACCCTCCTAAAAGCCCAGCTTGCTGGGAGTGGCCATAACCCACTGGAGCGTCTGAACACTCGTGGAAGGAGTGAACTGGTCGCTGACTTTCACCACTCTCCCAGGGACAGGAGTTTGCCTGGGTTTGAATCCCAGCCTGAATCCTGATTCCAGCTTCCTGCTAATGCACAGCATGGGGACAGGGGCAATGGGGAAAGGTTCAGCCACAGAGTCTCTGCTACCTCCTGCATGGGATACTCAGACTGAATTCCCAGCTCTTGCGTTTGGCCAGGCTGTCTTGGCTGCTGTGGGCACTTGGGGGATGGGAGCTCTGTTTCTCTCCCTCTGGAATAAATTTTAAAAAAAATAAAGAAAATACAAGAGTAACCTTCAGTCAGACTGCCTAATTCATCAGGACCCACCTGTGCCCATGGAGAGACAAGGACCTACCTGTGTCCCTGCTCCATGCACAGGACAAGGGCAAGGCAGTTTAAAAAGTAAGAAGGTCATTTTGGAAAAGGACATATTAGAGGAGGGTTGCCAGACATTGCAAACACAATAGGGGAGTTCTTGTTCAATGTGAATATCTGACAAGCATTTTAAAGAAACAGGTATAAGTATCACACGGGGCATGCTTATCTTTGAAAACTCACTTATCTGTAAATCAAATGGACTTGGGCGTGCCATGGGCATTTTACCTGGCAACCTCATCCTAGGGGGAGGAGCATATTTCAATCTTGATGGAAAACAATTGCTCACATCACAAAGCACACTTCAGCCTGTGTCCTCGCTGCTCCGAGCAGCTCGGAGGGAATGGGATGGGGGCCCAGTGTGGCAACAGCCAGGAGCTCAGGGGCCTGGGTTGGCAAAAAGGTATCTGGAAATGCCGCAGCTGCGGTGTGTCTCAGGGGAGGGGTGGTGATGATGAGAGTTCAGGCAGGCCTTGGCCAGCTGTCACCTGGGCTGCGGTGTGTCTCAGGGGAGGGGTGGTGATGATGAGAGTTCAGGCAGGCCTTGGCCAGCTGTCACTTGGGCTGTGGCCCAGCACAAGAGCACTGTCCAGGATGGAGGGTGCCGTGACCAGTGGGGCTGGGAGAGCCCGGACTACCTCCAGCTGCTGCTCTGTGTTTTTCCTTAAAGCCTCCTCAAAGCGCTGAGCGCGATCCCGCAGGGACTGGCTCTGGAAGGTGAGGGTGTCCACCTGGTCCTGCAAGAAATAACACAAGATGCCCACAAGGATCCCCTGTGCACACGCAAGCACTACCTCGGCAGCTAGGGTGGTGGGGTCTCCCATGGGTACTAATGACCCTCTGGCTGGCCCTTGCTTGGAGCCCAGTCCTGAACTGATGTGAAAGTGCTACCAGATGAATTTTTATACCAAGGAGCTTAGAATCAGGAGAAGGGGCTCAGTAGCTAAATCCTAGCCTTACATGCATTGGGATCCCGTATGGGTACTGGTTCGTGTGCGGGCTGCTCCACTCCTCATCCAGCTCCCTGCTTGTGGCCCAAAGCCTTAAGACCCTGCACCCATGTGGAGGACCCAGAAAAAGCTCCTGGCTTCTGACTTCAGATCAGCTCAGCTTTGGCTGTTGCAGCCACTTGGGGAGTAACCAGTGGACAGAAGAACTTTGTATCCCAGCCAGTGCAGGACAGAAAGGACCATAGCTACGTAGCAGCAAGGGACACACAAGTGCACTTGGCAATATAGCTCATCCAGGAATCTCCTCCACCTCCCGCTTCTCTCTCTGCCTTGCAACTCCTCACACTACCACCAAAACACTCGAGTTTTGAACCCTCATCACTCTGAGGTGCACTGCAGCCACTTCAACCCAGTCCTCCAACCAGTCTCACCTTCCCAGCCCCAGTTCTCCCCACTAGTTCTTCTGTTGGCACCACATCCTTCTGCCAGCTCCCTCTCCTTCACGGTTCATGCATGGGCCCCCTTGCCTTTGTGGCTTCAAGGGTGGTGCTACATCCCCAGTGTGCACCAGGCCAAGGTCTCATCCTCCCTGCTAGACCCCAGGCCCTGCTTGAAAGGCTGAGAGTGACCTTGAGCTCTGTGCTCAGCTCTCAAGGCATACCTGGCTATGTGCCTCTTGTCACCTGGCACACGAAGGATGATCATGGGTGACTTCCCCTGACACCCAGGGAGAGACCCAGACCTCAGTGCCAAGGGTCCCAGGGTCCTCCACACACTATCACCATCATCTGACCTCCAGGGGCTGGGACTGGGCACCCTGTGAATTGCTCTGGGGAGGGGAATGGCCCCATCCTGCAGCATAGCAGCAGTGGGCGCTGGGTCTCTTGGAATTCCACTTAAGAACACTGTGGTGAATAATGCCTGACTGCTTTCTTCATTTTGGCAGAGGCTCTGGATTCGCAAACTTGTCAAGGCCAGCTCCTTCGCCCTCCTCCCCTACCTCATAACTACTTTCATTTCATTGTTAAGAATAAAAGTCACCACAGGCCCATAAATGCAAATGCTGGTGCATTGGGCCCATAGAGGTGTTGGCGAAACCTGGTCCCAACATGGTGGCGCACTGCTTGGCTGCTTCCAGCTTCAGGAGGTGACTATGACCATGTCCCCCAAGGCTCCTAAACCAACCCTTGTCAGAGCTTTTGGAGGAAGCCTTTCTCTTAAGTCTCTTCCCTTCCATTAAAAAGCAGAGCAATGAAGTCTCATGAGCATTGACACTCAGGAAGGATCTAGACTACCAAGCCAAGTATTCTTGCCTTGTTCACCATTATTCAGAACGGACTGACAGAGAACAGAATGGAGCTGTGGCAATCAGAAGAGGCTCTTTTTCTACTTGCATGGGTTCCTACTTGTCAGACCAGGAGGCACAGAGATCTGTCTGGTAGTCTCACCCAGCACGCACCTATCCGAAATCATCAATGGCATGAGGGTGGTGGTGATGGTCAAAATGGTGATGATAGAGATAACGGTAATGATGGTAGTGATAACGCAGATGGTTGATGATGGTGGTGGTAGTGGTGATGATGGTGGTGGTGAGGAAGGCGGAGGGTGTTAATGATGATGATGATGGGTGGTGCTCATGATGGTGGTGGTGATGGTGATGATGATGGTGGTGGTGATGGCAATAGTGAAGATGGTGAAAGTTAAATAACAGAGCTTCTAACTATTAAATAGCAATAGCTGCTGCCTATATGCTCTTCACTCATGAATCCCTTTAATTTTCTCATACTTTGAGAAAGGCACTGAACAAACTGAGGTGAAAAAGGGACATTGGGGATATTTAAAGTCAACACTCAAATCTCTAACCACCACATGAGTGTCTCCCGCTGCCAGAAAAACCTAGGGGGGTTGCACTGAGCAAGTCCACACTCCTTGCACCAAATAATCTTCAGTGCAAGTGGATTCTGCTGTGTGGAAAGCTGAACTAAGAAACGTGTGGGATTGATGGTCTAATGGCAGAGTGAAGACTCAGGCCCACAACAAAATTCTTGCTTCCTTTGGTTTTGGCTTGGGTGTAGTGTTGCATGGCTGTATGTGGCCATCACATTCCTGGATATGAGATTGTGCAGTGTTTGGTGCCAGGCGTGGATACATAAGGGAGGTAGCTTGGGGTTGAATGGTAAGGGAAGGCATGGGTACATCACAGGCCCGGCCACAGATGGTGGTGGGCTGGCGGCTGGAGGTGGCCTATTTTAAAATGTTTAGGTTGTTTCCTAGACAGGGCAGGCTCTGTGAAATGCACATTATCAGGGGACGGAGAACCATCATGAAGCCAACTTTCTGCTTATACTGGTATACTTGTAGTTGACAGGGACAAGAGTTTTCCAAAAAAATCTAAGGAAAATGCACATTATTAAAAAAAATGCATGGATTTCAAACACATTTTACAACCCCCCAAACCCCAATCTTTCCCTTCCACTTTCCATGAACTATCTGAATACCCTCTTATGGGAATTCCACAATTTCCAGGGCTGAGTGCCCCCGGTATTTTAAAAAAAGAATCTTGTTGAGATGAGAACTTCTGCCTGTGGAAAGGGAAGTGGGGCCTGGTCTCCCTCCTGGTTTACTTGGAAAGAATGCAGGGTCCTGCCTTCTTCCTCAAGAGGCCAGAAGCAAGCCAGGCCCTCCTCTGCCACAGGAGACCAGCATCTTCTTTAGGAGGGTGTTTTAGATCCCACCTGTCTGCAGGTGACAAGTCCTTTTGCAATTCCCAGAGCAGATGAACTCTGACCTCAGCCCTGCTTAGAATGCTTCTTTATTAGCCTCACTGCTCCTGGGCTGGTCATGAACCCCCACAGGTGCTTCTGCCATGCTTAGCACCCATATGGTTCTTTGGGGGCAAAAGGTGTCCCCCGCTATTACTGTGTCGTAGTCATCTGAGCAGATAAGCAGATGCCTCATTACTGAACAAAGCATGGCACCTCCACCTTCCACTGCTTATTTGACTCAGGACCAGAGAAAGGGGCTGCAGAGGGTGATGGTGATCTGCCACTACCTGGTATCAGCGATGGGCAGGGGTGAGGGTGGGGGTGGACACTAACCTGCAAGGACAGCCGCAGCTTCTCAAAATTCTCCTCTAGTTCTTTCTTTTCAAGTTCATGTGCAGACACCAGTTCTGGAGAGAAGACAGCAAACAGCTCAGTCAGTCTTTCTTTTGAGGAAGAAAATGGGAGGCCTAGAGCTGGGACCTGAGGTCAAGAAATGGCTCCTGCACTGAAAGATTCTAGCCCCCAAAAGACGCTCGGCAGGTGGAAATGGTAAGTGGAGGCCAGCTTGTTTTGCAGAAGAGACAGAGAAGCAAGGAGGCTAGAGAGAGAGAGAGAGGCAGGGAAGCAGAGAGAGCACGCAGACATACATACACCATACTCACACATCACACATTACAAATACACACAACTCACAGACACCATACAAATACATACAATCCACACATACACACACAACCTACAGATACATGCATATCTCCCATATACACATCTAGACACACCCCACAGACATACACACATCACACATAACCCACAGATACATACACCACACTCATACACACCACATGCACAACTCAGACACCACACAAATGCACACAACCCACACATACACACATCACGCACACAAACACAACTCACAGATACATACTCTACACTCATATACATACCACACACAACCCAGATACGTACATACCACACGTGTACACATAGCACACACACACAACCCAGATACACACACATCACCCCCACACACATCACAAATCACATATACAGACACCACACACCCCACATCATACACATCCCACACACATGTATTACACACAACCACATCATACCACACACAAATCACAAACCACAGAAAACACACACACCACACATACCATACAACCTAGATATGCACACCACATAGATACATCACACATACTACACACTACATACAAATTACACACACATCACAACCAAACCAAATCATATACATATTCCATACACACAAACACATATACAGAATATACATGCCACACAGATATATGCATCACATAGACAGACACACCACACACAACACACAAAAATACACCACACAGATACATACGTAAGACTCATATACAATATCACTCACTGACAACACACAACAGGCATATGCACACATGCACACAGACCACACAGAGATACACACATTCCATATACTACATAGAAACACACCACACACAACACATACATACACAATGTAACACACACAGAAACACCTCACATATCCTACCCATGGCACACAAATACAACAGACATACACATCACATACAATACGCACGCGTACACTGCACTTACACAGCCCACTCACCACACACAATACTATTAATTGACATGCTACACGTACCTCACACACATGTCAAAGTCACACAGATCATGCCACACATACACATCTATACACCACACACTATGCACCTCACATATCATACACACGCCATGCATATCCCACATGATGCACAAACCCTGCACACACACACACTGACTCCTGCTCTACCACCATCATGGTCAACTCCAAGTCTTTCCTCACAGCACCCATAGGTTCTCCGCCCTTTCCTAATAGAAACTGCCTAGTAGTGATGCTTCAGTCCTGGCTTCCTTCACCTGCCCCCTGCAACCTTACGTGGCAGAAATGGGCTTTGCAGGAGGCTTCTGAGGAGTGCACAGCTTTGGGCCAACCTGGAATGGTTGGAGTACAGTCAGAATCAGGGCAAGCAGGACAGAGCTGTGTCTGCAAGGACACCCTGCAGGCCTCAGCCATATCCTGGGAACCCAAAGACCTGAGGTCTGCTTGGGCCAAGCTTTGGGGGTGAAGGCAGTGGGGCAGAGGCCAGAAAGGCTCATTGTGTGAAGCAGGTTGGCCAGCAGCACCTGCGTGTTAAGCAGAGAGATGTGGCACACGGTCATTAAGCAAATGCATCCAGTTCACCTGTGGATGGGAGACTCCTGTTAGCCAGGTGAGGTCCATCTCATTCAGGCTGCACTCAGTTCGTTTGCGTGTTACACCGACAGGCAAGAAAGAGCTCATTAACCACCCAGGGCCAGCTGCTTCCAGTGGGAGAACCAACAAGCATGGTCTCAGCTGGCCTGAGCTGCAATTAGGAAAGGCTTTGTGGTCTGCAGTGACCCAAATCTTTTTAACTAGTGATGGTAAAGGCCACCAAGAAATACAGCTTGTTAAAGCTAAATTTACATTTTGGAAAAACATTAATGTTGGGTTTATTGATATAGAACCATGTAGCCTTCTGGTCTACCTACCTGTCTGATAATCACTACTCACTGAAGACAACCCAATGGCAATAGTGTAGTTCTAGCTAATTTTGGACCTATATTGCTTTAATGCTGTATATGATTTAAAGACATTTGACATGGCATATGAGACTTCAGCAGTCAGAAATACGTTCTGTGTTTATTTATGTGAAAATCCAGGAACAAACAGCAACAGCAGGCCCACGGTCCTATTCCCACTCACATTTCCCATTCCCCAAACTAATATCCTGCAGGGCAGGGATGGTCTCCTGGTTTTTCCTCCATGACTCAAAGCTCCCAAAAGAAAAGTTGGTATCTTTCCTAAAGACCATAGAAACCATCACTAATATCTGAGGAATGCATTTTTTTGAAAGATTCATTTATTTTTATTTGAAACGTTTACAGAAAGAAGAAGAAACATTGAGAGATCTTCCATCTCATATGGGATGCTAGCACATCAGGTGGAGGCTCTGCCTACCATGCCACAGCACTGGCCTTGCAATGTATTTCTTTTTTTCAAGGTTATGGTACTCCATGTCATGCTGAATGCTACATATTGTCCTTTAAGACCACTGTATTCTCTCTCTCTCTCTCTCTCTCTCTCTCTCTCTCTCACACACACACACACACACACACACACACACACATAAATAGAAATAAAGACCAAACAAGAAGACACCTGCACTGCATATTACTGTATTGGTTTGATTTTAAACTCCATTCCGGATTCCAGCTTCCTTTTAATGCAGACTTTAGGAGGTAGCAGTGCTGATTCAACTGTCTGGGTTCTGGGTTCCAAATGGAAAACCCAGTTAGTATTCCTGGCTCCAGGTAGTGGCCTGGCCCAGCCCAGGCCAATGTATTGATGCATGTCTCTCAAAGAGAGTAAATTAGATGATTCTTAAATGTTGCAGCATGTTGAATCATATAGATTCTAGGGTGTTTGAAAAAATTGGGTAAGAGGAGCAGTGCTGTAGTGGGCAAAGCCACTGTCTGTGCAGCCAGCATGCCATACGAGCACTGGTTAATGTCCCTGATGCTCCACTTCCCAACCAGCTCCCTGCTAATGACCTGAAAAAGCTGCAGAGGAAGGTCCAAGTCTTTTGGCCCCTGCACCCATGTGGGAGACTCAAGAGAAACACCTGGTTCCTGGCTTTGAACTGGCCCAGCTCTAACCATTATGGTCATTTAGGGAGTGAACCAGTGAATGGAGGATCTCTTTCTCTCTGTTTCTCACTTCCCTTCTCTCTGTAATTCCGCCGTTCAAGTGAATAAATTAAAAAAACATTCGGTGGCAGGGGTGTGGGGATGTTGGGATTTTACCCCAGAGCAATTTGCTGAGCATCCCCAAAGAAGACATACACATCAGCACTTCCTGTTAAACAACCCCTTACCTGGCTCCAATGTACAGGTTAAGGGAGGGGACTAGAATCCATGGGTGAGAGCCACTCACAGGACACAGGTAATGCCTCCAGCCAGCTCTCAGGCCACTACTGCTCTGTGTGGGGAGTGGGGTGCCAAAGCCGCTCCCAGGAATAGGAAAGGCCATGGAAAGATGGCGGCTGGCCCAGGGCCAGGAGGCGGGGTTGGTCTCACCAGCAGGTAAACAGGAAGTCACAGGGATAGGCTGATGCCTTCGCTGTGATTATGTCATTGCTACTGGCCTATCAGGTAGCGCAAAGTGGACCCATGGGAAGAAGTGATTGGTGGAGAGCAGTATAAAGGCAGCTGCTAAAAGCTATAAGAGGTAGAAGAGGAGAAACGTAGAGAGAAGAACGACGGACGCAAGGAGAAGAGCTGGGCAGCAGCGCAGGGTAGAAAAGCTAAGGCGTAAAGAGAGAAAAAGACAGGAGTACAAAAGTGGTAGAAAAAGAGTAAGACTTACCGAGAGAAAAGTACAGGGAAAAAATGGCAAGAAAGGCAGTACCAGGGAGGGGAAGCAGCACGAGGGAGGGGAAGGTAGGGAAGAGAAAGCAGAGCAGGAAGGTGAAAAAGCAGCACCAGGGAGGGGAAGTGGAGCGGGAAAGAAACAGCGGCACCAGGGAGGGGAAGCAAAGAAGGGAAGCAGAGTGGGAAGGAAGAAAAGCAGCACCAGGGAGGGGAAGGTAGGGAAGGGGAAGCGGCACCGGGGAGGGGAAGCAAGGAAAGGGGAAGCGGCACCAGGGAGGGGAAGGTAGGGAAGGGGAAGCGGCACCAGGGAGGGGAAGGTAGGGAAGGGGAAGCGGCACCAGGGAGGGGAAGGTAGGGAAGGGGAAGCGGCACCAGGGAGGGGAAGGTAGGGAAGGGGAAGCGGCACCGGGGAGGGGAAGGTAGGGAAGGGGAAGCAAGGAAAGGGGAAGCGGCACCGGGGAGGGGAAGGTAGGGAAGGGGAAGCAAGGAAAGGGGAAGCGGCACCGGGGAGGGGAAGCAAGGAAAGGAGAAGCGGCACTGGGGAGGGGAAGCAAGGAAAGGGGAAGCGGCACTGGGGAGGGGAAGCAAGGAAAGGGGAAGCAAGGAAAGGGGAAGCGGCACCGGGGAGGGGAAGGTAGGAAAGGGGAAGCGGCACCGGGGAGGGGAAGGTAGGGAAGGGGAAGCGGCACCAGGGAGGGGAAGCAAGGAAAGGGGAAGCAGCACCAGGGAGGGGAAGGTAGGGAAGGGGAAGCAAGGGGAGGGGAAGCGGCACCGGGGAGGGGAAGCAAGGGGAGGGGAAGCGGCACCGGGGAGGGGAAGCAAGGGGAGGGGAAGCGGCACCGGGGAGGGGAAGCAAGGGGAGGGGAAGTAAGGAAAGGGGAAGCGGCACCGGGGAGGGGAAGCAAGGAAAGGGGAAGCGGCACCGGGGAGGGGAAGCAAGGAAAGGGGAAGCGGCACCGGGGAGGGGAAGCAAGGGAAGGGGAAGCGGCACCGGGGAGGGGAAGCAAGGGAAGGGGAAGCGGCACCGGGGAGGGGAAGCAAGGGGAGGAGAAGCGGCACCGGGGAGGGGAAGGTAGGGAAGGGGAAGGTAGGGAAGGGGAAGCAAGGGGAGGAGAAGTGGCACCGGGGAGGGGAAGGTAGGGAAGGGGAAGCAAGGGGAGGAGAAGCAGCACCAGGGAGGGGAAGGTAGGGAAGGGGAAGCGGCACCGGGGAGGGGAAGCAAGGAAAGGGGAAGCGGCACTGGGGAGGGGAAGCAAGGAAAGGGGAAGCGGCACTGGGGAGGGGAAGCAAGGAAAGGGGAAGCGGCACTGGGGAGGGGAAGCAAGGAAAGGGGAAGCGGCACCGGGGAGGGGAAGCAAGGAAAGGGGAAGCGGCACCGGGGAGGGGAAGCAAGGGGAGGAGAAGCGGCACCGGGGAGGGGAAGGTAGGGAAGGGGAAGCAAGGGAAGGGGAAGCAAGGGGAGGAGAAGCGGCACCGGGGAGGGGATGAAGGGCGTGAAGGAAGGGAACTGGGACCAGGGAGGGGAAGGTGGAAAAGTGGCATCAGGGAGGGGAAGCAAGGAAGGGAAGCAGAGCGGGAAGAAAAGTGGCATCAGGGAGGGGAAGGAAGGCGGGAAAGCAGCACCAGGGAGGGGAAGAAGGGCGGGAAGGAAGGGAAGTGCACCAGGGAGGGGAAGGTGGAAAAGCGGCACCAGGGAGGGAAGGGAAGTCAAGTCCAATGGGGGGAAAGGCAGCGGAGAGAAGGGTGTAAGCACATGTGGTTGCGGGTGGAATACAGCTCTGGCCTTCAGACTGCATGGTGCACTGGCCACCAGATCCCAGAGGCAGCCGGCTGGGCAGAGGCCAGAGCACAGCCTTTAATACCTGGCTGACCCAGAGCAGGGAATGGGGCAGGAGCAGAAAAAACTGAGGAACAAATTGCACATATTTCTTAGAAATGCATGCCTGTGTGAAAAAGCTGTTGGCACCAAGGGAACTTGTATTAGAACTCTGTTGTAACCCTCAAACCTTTAAGGATTCAAAGACAACGCAAGGTTACTCAAAGGTCATCAGAAAGATCTTGGCTTAACACCCACCGTGTGGTTTAGGGGCAGTGTCTTTACTTTGGAGGTGCTGCCATTATCTGAGAACGACGTGTGTGGGAACAGCAGTCGCACTGGACCCTGCATTTTGAGCTCTGAAAACAAGGTCAAGCCCACCACTGCCAGGCCTACTTTGGAAGAGCGGTCTTGAGCTGGGCTTGGCTGTGCAGTCATCCAGGGAGCCTTAACCAGTCCTCATATAATGCCTAGGCTGCAGCCCCAACCAACCATGTTGCATTCCTCCGGGAGTGGGACATGGCTGTGATTGGCCTTTCAGTGAAACGCCCCAGGGTGACCTTGATATTTGGGCCAGGTTGAGCACAACTGCCTGGGAGGGAAGACCCTTTACCTGAATCCTTGGTTTCCTTCTGTGTATAGGAACCAACTCACAGGAGGCAGCAGGAAGGACGGAGTGCCCAGGAGAGGACTAAAGCACAGGAAAGCTCCTTGTCTCTGACAGCAAAGGCTGGGATTGCACAGCTCCACCCCTGCTCACAGGGCACCAGGCTGAGCCACGGTTACCTTGGACTTTGTGGTCATGGTCGTCCTGCAGGATGGCGATGGCAACCGTGTGGTTGCTTTCCATCTCCAGGAGAGCGGCCTCGTGGCTGGCGGTGATATCCTCCACCTGAGGGGGAGTCACAGTTACCGGGTCTGCAGAGAGTTGGGGAGCTGATGTCAGCTAGAGCCTGGCCACACCTCAAACTGAGGATAGTGCAATGAGAGGGAAAGGCCAGGGACCCCAATGTCAAGGACGGCTCATTTTGCAAAGACAACAGTCCCTCTCAGCCCATTGCCTAGGCAGGAAGCTTAGATCAGCTGGGGACAGAGCAGTTTCAGGGTCAGTGAGGGCACTGTCACCTGGCTCCTTACAGGAAGATGGGGTCCCAAGAAGGGTGTGGCTGCTGAGGCACCTATGTGGTGCCCTGGGCCTGGATTCTGGGCCATCTCCTATTCCCTCCCATCCCTACTCCATATGCCAATCTGAGTAGATAAGTGGTTCTTTCTATAGGATAGTCCTGTGGATTCCACAAGCAGTGGGAGCCACAGTACAGATGGGGGAACTAGACCCTGTGAAGTCACTTGCTAGATGTTCTTCCACTTCCCTGCCAAATAGTTATATGCCCATTCTACACAGGAAAAAAAAACCCAAAGCTTAGATGTGAACTCTTTCCAAAAACAAGTAAACCCCCGGCTGTGATACTGGGGTACAGTTTGACCCCAAAGATAAGGCTTCCTCAGACCACTGTTATGGGTTTAGCTTAGTGGTTCTGACATGACATCCTATGTCAGAGTGCCAGGGTTCTTTGTAGCTCTGCTCCTGACTTCAATTTTCTGCTAATGCAGATCCTGGGGCAGGGAGTGGGAGTTGGAGTTGGCAGGTGGCAGCTCAAGTGATTGACAAAGCCACCTGGATTGAGTTTCCAGATCCTTGCTATCACGGACTGAGCCAGCAAATGGAAGCGTGCTCTCCCTTGCACATTCTCTCTCCCTCCCAAATGAAAATTAACAACAATAAAACACTGCTGTTGCCTCTTCCCTGGTCAGAGGAACAACCAGCACTGAGGATCTTGTTCCTGTCCCTGAGGCAAGGCCACCTGATCTATCCAAGCCAGGTGCAAAGGGAAATCTAAAATGATTCCATTTGTTGGAAAAATAAATCATTGACTTCAAAAGAAATATTTTTTATTCATGATGGTGCCAGTTAAACCCATACAGAGCACACAATCATGGAAATGCCTATTTGAGGTATATTACAGTTCTGTATTATATAAAAATATCTTGAGTCTTTGGGGTGATTCTAATTGACTGGGCTGTTACATCTCCAGTACTCCTGGCAATTTATGTATGGAAAGGCCAAGTTCCAGAAGAATCCCACATGTACCAGGAGGTGGACATGCCCTGATGGGGCATGGTGAAATATATGCTTTTCTGTTTCGCTGGTAAGCATGTGTTTACATCAGCTCAATATAAAGGGTGATGTAGGGGGACTATATATGTCATCGCAGCCTCTGGGAAGCTTCAATGAACAGAATCCTGACGTCCCGACTTTCTGCTCCCATAGTTCTAGAAGAATGTCCAGTACTTCTGGAATAAAACGGTATGAATCCACGAGCCAGTATCTGAACACAATAGTCCCTTCTCCTTGGTAAATTTTCATGCATCTTCACGGTGTTCAGAAATGCATCTCCAACAAGAAAGGGTGTATCTACCTCAGCCCGTCTGACCTGTCCTGGCGTTACTCTCCCAGGATATCTCCTGGCGCCTGGATTCTTCCGAAAACACTGTTTTACCTTTGCGAAGTGGCCAAACTGCAAACCTGAGAAGGCCTTGAGGCCTTCTGAAGGCATTTGAGGGGATTTAGACGAACCAAGGCAGGGAAAACAAGATCACTTTTTTATTGCGCTCTACCCTGAAGACAAAAGTCAGTAGACCATTATCAGCTCCTGGCAGTTTCTATCGGTCCCAGGCTGCCACCACCTCCTAGAAGCCTCGGTGGGGCCCTTAGAAACGTGCTGGACCAGTATCTGGACTGTGCCATGGAGGAGGTGTTGGGGTGCCCATCAAAGAGTCATTATTTGGGAAAACAGCTGTTTCTGAGACAGGATTCCATCCCCGCAGCTGCCTGCTTGCCATTCAGCCAGGCCGAGTTACAGCAAGGCAAAGGATTAAACCGCCACTCTGAGAGGAAAGATGGAGCGGCAGGATCGACTTCCTGAAGCCATCTGCAAAATGCAATTATCTGGAGTTGTGACAATTTGCCCAGAGAAGATGTACATTTAAAATAAAGCACAGGCTCTGTACTGTACAGTCTCCTCCATGCTCACTTAAGCCATGCCGGATCACACTCACATTGGGTCCCATCCCAGATATGTAATGTCTTCACAGCGAAAGAGGCAGAGAGCGTCCCCTTTCCAGCACAGCCAGTCAGGAAACCCTCCCTTTGTCCTTGCTGTGCTGTCCTGGGGACACCAGCTCATAGCAGCTGCCCAGAGGTGCTCCGAGAGCCCAGCCTCACTTCACCCTGTCTGTGCTGTGCTCTTCCCCCTTTGCAGGCTGTCATATGGACAGGGGTTGACATGGGCCAAATCTCCCCTGCACTGCCTCCTCCCAGTGATGTAGAGAAAGGGCTTCTGGGACCTCCTGCTATTTGATTAGTAGGTTTCCACTGAGGGGCAGCTGTGAGTCTGCCATATAGTGCATGATGGACAGCATGGCCTCTTTGCATCAGGATTAATCACAGCGATGCTACTCCTGCCTTCTAGTCTGGAAGGATTTCTCTAGCTCAAGGCAAAAACAATGCTCTGGATTTGAGAGCACATTAAGCCACAGGGTCTGAGCACTTTCCAGGGAGGTAGAATCACTGCAGAGTCTCTAATGCATCCGGAACAAGCAGACGTGCCGGTCACAGGATCAGACAAAGCGCCATAGGGTCTTGGAGGGATGGGGTCACAGGTGACACACGTGATCTTGAATCCCAGCTCTGCAGTTGCTCATGTCTGGGAAACAAAGGCAGCCAGGAAGTGGACCACAAGCTGCAGAGCAAGGAACCATATGTGTGGCAAGGAGAAAGCTTGTGTGAGTATAGGGAAAATTGGTTTTGTATGCTCTGAGAAAGGGAAGCTGTGACAACTGGATTGTTAATAGGTAGCCTGACACAGAAGGCATGGGAACTTGATTAAACAACTGTATAATTGTACTTTCAAAATAAGAGCTTGGCCATATCTCAGTGACTCACTAGGAATACAGGACTGCCTCCTCACCTTCTCGTTGCTCATTCTTAACCAGCCCCCCTGCTTGATTGACCAAGTGTTTGCACTTCCTCAATGCTCACACCTAGCTCTAAGTCAGGCCCCACCCAGCAATCACTTCCTTGCACTGTTGGAGATCAAGCACACGGGTCTTAGACCTTACTTCTTGCCCAGTATCACAGTTCCCTGGGCACCTGTCTCTGAATTCCCCCTGGAGAACAGGCAAGACCACATGTTATACACCTTGGTGTCTGTCACAGCATCTTGTGGGCAGCAGGTATTCAATCTGTGTGCTTTGCACACAAGTAAAGGAATAAGTGGCTTTAGCGAACATAAGATATCAAGGGCAGAACTGAGCCCTCGTGGGACTCAGCCCTTCTGAAATAGAATCAGGTGCCACTTCATGACTGGGTATGTCCTCAGGCGGTGGCTGTCACTCCAAGAACTACAGAGTAGTTATGCAAAGCAAGGTGCTATGTTACTGAGGGTTATAAAATCAAGGGTCAGGCTACTCATTTATGAGGCTGGTGCTAGTCAGATCGTATTATTGGAATCTGCAGTTTATGTGACTCAGTCTCAGCTGGAAACCTCAGGGGCCTCTTTTCTTCTAATGCCTCCCAGTCTGCAACCTCCAAAAGGTTGCAAGAAGTGAGAATGTGTTCTCGAGCACCTGTGTGTTGTTGAAATTACAGGGTGCACTCCACCAGTGGACATGGTTCTCTCGGGCAGTGGCCCAATGCTGTGACATCACCATTAAACCTTTGTTCTCGAGGCCTCCTGCATATGCCTGCACATTACCACCTCCCTGCTTTTCCACCTCCTGGCATCTTCATGACTGGCCAGACTCTCCTATCAGGTCTTTGGTGAATACACATAGACATGCATGCAAAGGCTCTGAAGCAAGAAGCTGCAGACAGCAGCAGGTACAAAGAGTGATGTATAAGCACCACATAAACACAGCACGGGAGGCAAGGTGCTGGCGTTTCGCTTCTCGTCTCGGCACCTGCAGCCAACCCTAGCCGTAGCCGGTCGTATTTCTCATTCTTTACACGATCTCAAGCAGGGAGGTGTCTGATTTTCATGGAGCTCTAGAGAAAGGGAATGACTAACCCGAGATGCTGCTCCATGGATTGAAACGCAAGGAAATGAGACATTTATGGCACCAACAGTACTTTTTGTTCTGAAATGTCCCTTGTGCCCTCTGGGAGTCACAATGCCCAGCCTGGAAGTAGCTTGAGAAGGCCTTGGTAAGGAGGGATCCGTTAGCATTAACTTGGGAGTCCCCTGAGGTAGAGCTCTTTGCAGCTCCCCACTCTCCTTAGGCACAGCATTTGTTTGCAGACACGCCATCTAGAAGGTGGGCAGCAGGGCATCAGAACTTAGCAACACTTCCGAAAGCTGTAAGCAGCAGCTCTCATGAAGCGGGGGCAGTTTGCTGCTACATTCTGTCTGGCCCTCATGAATGTCATGAGAATGATGGGCAAAGGCATGGGCCATGCGATGGGCCTTACCTGCATGCCCACTGGCAGTCTCTCTGGGAGTTATTCTCTAGCTTTCCCATGACTTAATTTCCTTCTTTAGTAAGACTGCTGGCTTTAGGTGAACTACCGCCATTCAATCTTTCCTTCAACAAAGACATACTTTGCACTTGCTCTTGGGCGGGTATAATTCTAGGTTCCAAAGATTTTGCAGAACACCTGGCAGAGAATATTAACTTAGTGATGTGAGAAGCCAGAATAAATTCTACTTTGGTGCCATAGCTTAGTAGTAAGCCTTGGCCTGTGGCACCAGCATCCCTTACAAGCACCTGTTCGAGTCCTGGCTGTTCCATTTTTGAATCGGCTCCCCGCTAACATGCCTAAGAAAGTAGTGGAAGATAGCCCAAGTCCTTGGTCCCCTGCACCCACATAGGAGACTCAGAAGAAGCTTGTGACTCCTGGTTTGAAACCAGCCTGGCTTTGGCTGTTGAGGCCCATCTGGGGGAGTAAACCAGAGGCCGGAAGATCCCTCTGTCGCCTTTCTCTGTAACTCAAACTTCTCAAACACAAGTTTAAACCCCACCCTGGCTTTTCCATGGGTGGCCCTGTGAATTCTGGCAAGGTAGTTAACTTCAGGGATTCCACTTTGTAACCTGTAACACGGCAGTTAGAATGGATCCTACCCACTAGGGTGTTGGGATTCCATGAGTCAGTGTGCACAGAAAGAGCTGAAAACTATGCCAACACATGTTCATTCATCGCTGCCTCTGCCCTCACAGGACATGGTACATAATGACCAGTAAGGTACTCCAGTGAAGTGGGTATAATGCTAGAAGGCAACAAGGGCTGAAGAGCCACTAAGGCATGGAGGCCATGCGTGCATGTGTGCGTGCAGGGGACAAAAGCCTGGAAAGCAGGGAGAAAAGGAGCTAGGTGGTACCTGGAAGAAAATTCTCCCAGATGGGGGGCATAGCAAGTGTGAAAGTCCTGGGGATGAGCAGGGCAGGCCAGAGGGATCAGAGGGAGGGGGAGGTGGAAGAGAAAGGAGGAACAAGGATGAGGTTGCAGAGTGACCTTGATGAACAGCTCTGTAACAAAGCAAGGCTTCTTGCAGTGCAGCATTGGTTCCCCAGCGCCACCTGCCTCCTCCATCAGACTCCCTCCAGACTGACCTGCTCCTGGTGCTGGCATCGGATCCTCAGCAGCTGGCCACGGTGCTCCTCCTGCAGGCGTGCCACCTCTGTCTCAAACTGCAGTTGCAGCCTCTGTTCCAGCTCCTGAAGCTCAGCCTGTTGCCGCCAGCCCAGCCGTCGCACCTCGTCCTCGAACCGCCGCTCCAGGTCCTCCTTCTCCTTTTGTAGTTTCTCACACTTGGCTGTGCTGAAGGCTGGGCAGAGAGCACAACGTCATTCTCAACATGCTGGGGATATTAGCACGATGAGACTCAACCCTGAGTATACCGGGGCTCTCCATGGTGACTCCATTTGAGGTCAGTGTCAGAAGCAGGACATCTCTGGCCCCTACAGACTTGCACAATTCATACAGTGCTTTCCCCTCCTGCAGCATTTATCCCTTTTGGCTGTTGTGGAACTGGAGCCAGAGAGCCCCAGAGAATCACCCATATGATGAAAGGGCGGAAGTTGGACTTTGGCCACCAAGGATCACCCATCTGCTCAGAATCCATGAACTTCATTTGACATCTGCTGGGTAGATGTCAAAAATGGCAAACTTTTGGGAAGGACATTCAGGCTGGTGGTGAAGACTCTGATTAGAATGTCTATATCCTGCATCTGAGTACCAGGGAGGAGTCCTTGTTTTGGTTCCTGATCCAGGCTTCCAGCTAATGCAGACCTGGGAGCAAGCAGGCGATCGCCCTAGCAGCTGGGTCTCCGCCACCCACATGAGTGACCCAGAGTATTCCTGGTTGTTGGCTTTGACCTGGCCATTGTAGGCATCTGGGGGAGGGAGCCAGTAGACAGGAATCCTCCCTCTCTCTCTGCTAGGGGTGCCCCAGGGAAGTCACAGCCCTTGAGCCAGAAGCTCAGATTCTAAAACTGTAAGAAGATCACTAGATAGCTTTGCTTGCTGGCAGCCACAGAAGATGGGGATGGGGACCGACATCTGTGATATCACACAAGTACTGTATCCTTGCATCCTGGCTGCAGTGCAAGTGGAATATTCTCAAAAAGGAGGAGTTCCTGTATATACTGTCATTATCCTCAGGGTCCTCTGTCTTGCTCTGCCAAGTTGTTCCAGAAGCACCAGGGAAAGGAGGTGTCACTGTGCCCTTTCACATTCAGCCCCTCATCACCAAGGGCAAGCTGCCAATAGGGCAGGAGCTAATGCCAGCAGCCACCTGGCTGTAGCTTTAGACACGGCTCCTGCTCTGAGCTCTTACTCCGGTCTCATTTACTTGAGACCGTATACACCGCTTCGTTGTAACTTACACCCAGGGAGGAAGAACATGGGGATGATCTGGACTATAACCCAAAGTAATTAAAGGTCATGGCAACACCTGAATGAGGAAGCCTGACCTGCAGAGACAGCTGATTCAAGGACTTCTTAGCCCTAAAGAGTTTGATCAGTATGAGGAAGGAACTCAGGATTTTCTTTTGGCAAAATGAGCCATGTCTTCACTAGACATCATACAGGCACCATGTCCTTGTTGGAATGGGTTGCCTGGCAGTCCAACAATGTGCCCCATGAACTTTTTAGCTGAGGCCTTCAACTTTCCTGCAGTCCTGAAGGATTCTGATCTGGCAGTACAGCCAGGGAGTGCTGAGGTTGGGACAGAGGCAGCTCCATGTGTAGACAATAAGGAAAGGCAGTGTCTGTGCAGTGTATTTGTTACATTTTCATTTATTCATCTTCACTTTGAGAGACGAAGAGAGCTTCCTTCTCCTGGATCACTCCTCAAATGCTCACAACAGCCGGGGCCTGAGCCAGGCTGACGTCAGGAGCATGGCACTTAGTGTGGGTCTTCCGTCATGAGTGGCAGGGAGCCACTATCTGCCTCCCAGGGCGCACATGGGCAGGACACTGGAATCAGAAGCAGAGATGGCACTCCAAGCAGGCCCTGTGAGGTGGGCTGCACTGTGCCAAATTCCCACTCCTGTGGAAAGTTTAAAAGCAAAAACCTAACTGACTTCCCAAGTTCTATGCTGCTCATTATTGCCTTGAGTTAATAATTCTAAACAGGAAAAATTGCTTCCAGAAAAGCCTGCGCTAGGTCTTTTTTTAGATTTATTTTTTTATTGGACAGTCAGATATACAGAGAGGAAGATCTTCCATCCACTGATTCACTCCCCAAATGGCTGCAACGGCCAGAGCTGTGCCAATCTGAAGACAGGAGCCAAGAGCCTCTTCCAGGTCTTCCACACGGGTGCAGGATCCCAAAGCTCTGGGCTGTCCTCAACTGCTTTCCCAGGCCACAAGCAGGGAGCTGGATGGGAAGCGGGGCTGCTGGGATTAGAACTGGTGCCCATATGGGACCCTGGTGCATGTAAGATGAGCACCCCAGCCACCAGGCCATAGCGCCTGGGCCTCGGTAGGTCTGTTTTGAACAAATGCTACAATGACTGCTGAAGTCCTTCTTTACTTAAAGGACATGATTGCAAAATGATTGTTTTCCCTGAATGGTTGTAGAACATGGTGTTGACCTTGTACTCCTCAACCCTATTCCCTACAGAGCAGGAGGGCCTTCTCATTGCAAACCATCGTCAAACCCATATCATAGATACACAACAGAGCCCGCCAGTGCTCAGGCTCTCATACATTGCCTGGAGCTGTCCTTTCTTGAAGTCTCTGCAAACTGCCACTCAGCCTTGTCCTTAACTCTCAGGCCTTGACACCTTTGAAGGAGAAAGGCAGGGGCCATGCAGACTTCGTCATGCTTTGACTCATGACACTGTGGTTACATGTGGGTGGCAGGAAAATCAGAAGTCACTGTAATTTTTGATTGTATGACAAAACAGTATAATGCTCATAAAATAGGACTCTTCAGTTATTTTTAAGGTGAACCAGCAGAACAATGTGCATCATTGATCATTACAGGGGTGATGTTGACAACACAGTGCAGATGGGGGATATAAAAAAATGGTCCATTCTGTGAGTCAAATATGCTAGGCAGTGCCCTGAATATCTATCACTTTATGTACCTACCTATAACTATCATCTCTATCACATCACCTATCTCTCATCCATCTGTATAGTGACCTCACACCTGCTACAAATACATCTTCCAGGCAAGATCTGAGGGACAAAGGGCTGAGGAGGCACTGAGCTTTTGACCACAGGCCATAAGATGCCATGTGGATTGATGCTGAAGATCAGTAGGAAAGGCAAACTTAGTCTGAGTCTTTACAGACCCTGCTGGTGAGGTTGTGAGGGAGCAGCCTGGGGTCATCCTATCTCTTCTACTGAAGGAATTCCATTTATAGTAACGGATAAGCCAGGGTCAGGTCTGGTAGCAGCAGCAAGGTAACACTTGTTCCCAGAGGCTGTGGTCCCCCTTTGGTTCCAGTTTTCCCCAAAGTCCCTGCCCCACTGTGCTCAGCTCAGGAACACCATCAGGATTTTCACCAGTGACTGAAGCTAGTGATAAAAGCTGTCAGAATCCAGGGACTGCAAGTGGTTCATCCCAGGATGAGGGGATGTGATTAGAACAAAGACCATGAACTATCCATGAAAAAATAATGGTTGATGGATTGAGTTCAAGTGAGACAAGCAGAGGAGCAAGGATTCTGTCAGGAGAAGGCAGTTATCCTACGGAGAAATATGTGGGCTCTGCTGGGCAAGTACCAGGCAAGGGCAAGCCTCACAAGGACTTCTTGGTGCAGGGGACTGTGCGTGGAGGGTGTCCCTGTGTAAGCAGCTTGGAATGAGCTGATCATGGCCTGGTGGGGGGAAGAAAACACAGCAGAGACATCACGTTTGCTCGTATCTGAAACAAGGCTGTAAAGGAGTTCAGAGGAGACTTGAGGGGGGCAGGAAACCCAAAAGATGGTCAGTACAGTTTCAGTACGGTTGGAAGGAAGCAGATTGCAGGCAGAAGCCAGGAAGACTATTTCATCTGTAATGTAACATTCCAGCAAAACCCTGAAGACACAGCAAATGTCCAGGAAACTGGCAGCCAGGGGGCTGCTGGAGAACAGACTCGATGCTGGTGCTTCCCATCCAAGTGCTTGCAGATGAAATTGACCAGCATGGGAGCTTAATGAAGGGGGTAACAGCTAAAACATCATGTGATTTTAGAGTGTGACATGTTCTAAAACAACCACACAACTGAATGACTGAACATCACTGTATACTTGAGATTGGTGGATGGCAAAGTGTGTCACATCTCAGCAAAGTTTTCATCAAAAAAGGAGTGAGAAAACAATGAAAAAATAAAAATGACAGATCCTCATAGCTCAGAGACACTTAAAATATTTTTGAATTTATCTGGCCAATAAGATGCTGGACTCTCTGCTTGGTATGTTTGCAAATAAAGAATCTTGACTTAATTTGAACTATAATACTACAACAAGGTGGAGGAATCGACCATGAGGGGAGGGCTGGGAAGGGGTTGGGGGAATCACAGAGCCTATGAAACTGTCACAAAATGCAACGTAATAAGAAATATTTTTGTAACAAGGAAACCTCAGTTCTAGTTTCAAAATTCTATGTAATCATTCCACATAAACTAGAAAAATCTATATAATCTGTTCCAGTTTAAATTCTATAAAATTATATATAATAATGGTGAAAATACATGCTGACAAAAGCAGGAGACCCCATCTTCACATGTTTTACACACATGGATACAACAGGACATTGAGACTCATGCCTGCCATTTCTTAGTTGGAGATGTATTAAGCACAGACAACACAAATGAAAATAGTAATAAAAATGTTAAGTATATCGATTCTCAGCCTTTTGGCTAAGATCAAGTGTAAAAACGTTATTTATCTTTGGAAATTTTTGTCATGTGAAAATTTTCTCATTATGTCATTATCTTGCACTCTAGAGAACCAAGGCAGTAAGTTGACTGTCCTGAAGTATAGATGGAATGAAATAATCAAAAAGTTAAAGAAATAAATAAAATCAGATGACTTCCAAGAATGACAAAAAGGAAATGACATGCCATTTACACAACAATTTCACATATGCACAAAAATATCTGACTACTGTAACAGCACAAATTTTTGGAGGAAAAGAGGAAGCTAGTTAAATAAACGAACATACCAGGGAAATCCTAAGTATCATGGGATGTAGATAACTAGTATAAATGTAAAAGTAAAGATAAAGGAATAAAGGTAAAGATAATGAAATTATGTCAGTAATGAATTCTGAAGTCCAAGGCATGATGATGCAATATGATTTTAAGTTTCTTTTTAAAAAAAATTT